GTATGATATTTATATGCATAGGAAATAAACCATTATACTGTGCAGACTTTTGCACAAAGATCCAATCTCAGTGTGATATTGTGTGAGATATATATACATAGGAAATAAACCATTATACCTTACAGACTTATGCAAAAACATTCAATCTCAGTGTGATATTGTATATGATATATATGCATATAAAATACACCTTTATACTGTGCAGACCTCTGCACAAAACCCAATATCAATGTGATTTTTATGACATTTATATACATAGGAAATAAACCATTATACTGTGCAGACTTATGCAAAAGCATTCAATCTCAGTGTGATATTGTATATGATATATACGCATGGAAAATACACCATCATACTGTGCAGACTTATGCACAAAAACCTAATCTCAGTATGGTATTGTATGACACATTTATGTACATTGGACTATCACCATTTATTGTGGAGACTTTTGCACTTATATATTTGAACTCAACAGAGAGAGAGAGATCTACAGTGTACTATCATATGACAAACATATACATTGAACATTAAAGATCGTGAGCAGACGTATGCATACAAATCCACAATCACCATCGATTTAAAGTTTGTTCAACGAAACCTATATAAATCGGGCATTCACCATTGTAATGCTCAGACTTACACACACAAATCCAATCTAATGAAGAAGATATTATATCATATGAATTCTGCATACATTACGCATTCATCATGACAATGTGCAGACTTATATTCCAAACAGAGAGGCGCATTCGACAAGCACAATTACAGTGTGCAGACTTATACAGCAAATCCAATCATAACAGTGATAAGCGACATTCTCAAAAGCGAAAAACCATATACATTGAACGTTCAGCAATAAAATGAGCAGACTTATGCAGAAAGATCAAACATCAACATTGAGTTATGATATCATATTTTTTTAAAAAGTCAGAATTATGTGCAGATTTATGAACAAGAAATCAAGGTCAATTGGTGTGTGATATTATGAAATATACATTAAATATTCGATTTTATGTCAAGACTTATGCACAAAAATATAATAAACTCAAGAATGAACTAGACTTTAATTCGTCACTTTGACGAATTAGGTGATACGTATGCTCATGTGTAACATAATAAAGAACGTATTTTCACGATTTCATATTTCGTTTACTACTCCCATTATGGTCTATCCATGAGTCAAGTTTCAACTGTAGAGCAGAGGGAGACAGACCAAGAGAATAAGAGGGACGCAAGGCAAGAGAGAGAGAGAGAGAGAGGGAGAGGGTGAAAGAGAAGAGAGATAGATAGATGCAGAGACAGACCAAAAAAGGAGAGGGGCAGAACATGAGAGGAGAAGTAAAAGAGCAAGAGAGAGGAGAGAGAGAGATGCAATTGAGAACAATGCCTTCCAGATGACCATGATTGAAAGTGGTATAGCGCCCCCTTTAGGTATCCGATTGAGGATTGTTATATATGATAATTGACATGTCACCTATGATTGAATTTTTTACTATGATAACGTCAATATAATGTTAGATAGTCTACATAAATCTCGTGGGAACTTGTCTCAGCTACAACATACTCAAAAATCAACAAAATCCAAGCAGAAATATTGGCGATATTGCTCAAAACACAGAAATGTAGAATCCAGATTTGAGAAAAAGTAATCTCCCATAGGGATTAAACGCAAAAAGTAATGGATTAAGTGAAAATAGGGTGATAATAAAGAAAATAGGGTTGTTTATTACATTATTTGCGATTCTACGTGTTTTAATACTCAAAGGAGATGGTACAGTGAAAGGTCAAAAAATAAAGTGAAGACAAATATTGTTGGAGACACCCGGACTCGAACCATGGATCTCGAGGATGGAAGTCAAGTGGGTTACCGATATACCAAAACATTTCCCATAGCGATTACACGTAAACGGGAAATGGAATTCTGAAATCCTACTTTGCAAGTGAAATATGAGCATAATCCCGGCATCTGATCGAAAAATGAAATGCACACGTGTGATAGATTATTGTCTCAGCTACAACATATTCGAAGTTCAGCGAAAACGAAGCTAAAACAACGGAGATTTTGCTCGTGAAAGACAGGAGTGTAGAATCCAGTTTTGAGAAAAAGTCATGTCCCATAGAGAATACACGCAAAATGTGAAAAATTGACATGCCTCCTTTAATCGCAAAAATACACCATGATACTTTTGTCATAAATAAAAATTGTGAACATTACATTTGTAGAAAATTGTCTCAGCTAGAACATATCAAAATTAAAAAGAAAATTGATCCATATTTACAGAGATACAATCAATTTTCCAAAAATATGCTGACGTCATAATATGCAAATTGAAATTTTGAGTTTGGAGGCCATTATGATGACGTCATGAGTTAATTGAGGATAAAATGAGGCATGAAATCATATTTCCGACTCATAATCTATCCAAATATGACAAAATATTAGGAGTTTCTATCTATTCTAAAGAGTTACAATTAATTTTATATAGGCATGTTTTTGCCCATGTATTGTGGATAAAGATAACGCAAATCCGCGCGTGCTGTCAACTTTGACGGACGCTCATTGCGTTAGTAAAAGGTGAACAAATTATCAAAATGCTTGGAAAAATGTACCGAATATGATGACAGAAAAAAATCGGCGATTCTATGTTGCAAAATGCCAGTACGCGCGAAAACGCGCGCGCATGCGCGTGTGCGTAATTTTTTTATCAAATGCTCCATATGGCCTGAAACGTATGCAAAAAAAATTTGGGATGATTTAGAGCATTTTTAATTTTTGCGCGCGCGTAAACGCGCGCATTTACGCACGTTTATTGACCTCAACTTGACCAGACAAATATTGATTTTAATCATGATAAATATGAATGAAAAATTATTATTCGTTATAAAGATATGATCATTAGTTGATTTTCACAAAATGGCGCCTGGATGACGTCACGATGACTTTGAGTCTTTGAAAAGTCACGCAGTTCTAAGTTAGACTAAGATCTATGATCATTGAAAGATTCATAACAATGGCTTCGTTCAGTCTTGAGATATCCTGCGAACAAATTCGAGGAAGAATAATAATAAATAAATAAATAATAATAAAAATCTTGACGAAATCAAAAGGTGATACGTCTACGTACGTATCACCTAAATATTGTGTAATACAAGATTTAAATGCATTGGACATTCCACATGTGCAGACTTATACAAAACATTATAAATGCATGTAGATATGATTTTGTCTTTACGGTGAATAGACCTCATGTTTTAAACTTTTGAAAGTAAAACTAAAAAATGATAAGAACGAAACTTGGTAAAATTTTAGAAAAAGCCAATCAAGAGAATCAAACAACAAAACGATACAACATTTTGGTGACATTCATAAAAAGGATATTTGAATTTAAAGAGTATTGGATTCCTTCAATATTGTTAATATTTTCTCTAAGGGTAATAGCATATTACTGTTATTACGTGTTACACTATTTATTTGTTGGCAACTTTGGAAATTCCGATTGACTAGAAATAATGGACAGAAACATGCTTGTTTCTTACAGTGAAGGGGAAGGAATTATGGTATCTGAAGTTGAGTCAGTGGCCTAGCGCAGCTACTTTGTGAACGAGGAAGTTGTTGGGAATAAAAATATCCCAACGGAACATAAAATTAACAGTGTTATGAATCGTCATTTGAGAATCTACACTCGGTTACTCCACACAGTCACGCAGAAAATATGTCGGTTGAAGCTAGAGCCTTTTTTCGCCCTATCACAATAGTCCACTTTCGTTAAGTAATCAGATTTAAATACCGTTAATACTACTTGGCCAGAAGGAATTAGACCACACAGCGATGTCACTGACAGGTGGCTATCTCATTAACTCAGCTATCAACTAACATAAGAAAAAAGGATCATGGGGGACCAACAGGCATCGATTAAGGAAGTTTTCTATATAGAGGGAGCAAGTAGCTACAAGTAGGACAGTGGGGCTTTAATGCATACAAACTTTATTCAATGTCATGTTATAAATCTTGTTATTCATCTGTTACAAATGAATGTATTTCAATAGTCAGAATGCGAATTGCATACGTTCCTTGTCGCTAGGTATGACAAACATTATGGCTTGTCTTACCTAACGAGGCACTTATCAATAATTTATGCATTAAATTTGATTACATTACGAAAATGGCCTATCCTAAAATTTGAAAAAATTAAAAAGAACACTGATGGGACTCACATACAAACTAGGCAATTTTAATAATAAGAATTATAGTTGTGACTACATTCAAAACACACTTCAAAATTTGCCATTTTGATGGCTACTTCTACTATTAAATACAAATTATTTTTAAAGGCGAAAGTGTGGGTATGACTATGAGATTTTCCTTAAAGTATTTTCTACAAAGTAGTATAAGGAGTGATAAGTATTATGCATGGTATAAAATTGAACATCAAATATGTCAAATACTGAACTATTTAGAGTTTTTCAATTTGTATAGTAAGCAAATAACTACCGTTGGTGAAGGTGATGGGACAAACTATCACTTCCGAGGCGATCTGGATGTAGCTATCTTTCCAAAGCGAAGCTGAGGAAAGATAGCGTATATATTCTGACCGACGAGGAAGTGATAGTTTGCCATCGCCTGAAACCAAAAGGTGATTACTTGCTTTATATTCCACATCTAAAACAATTTAACTACAAAAAGAAAAGGACGTGTATGCATCTACATAAAAGACACCATGCCCAAATTCACACCAAAAAAATAAACAGTTTAACCCAACCCCTTGAGGGTACGGTGCGCGCATGTGTTTCTTTTAATTGCGCTCATTGGTAATGCGCGCTTAATTACGCCTGTTTTAGTGCTCTCTTGGATAATCTTCAATGAAAGTGCGTTGCCCTATGTAGATAGTACCTCTATCTTCACTGAAAGGGCGTTGCACTGTGTAGATAGTAGTACTATCTACACAGTGAACTTTTTGCTTCTCCCATCAATAATGGGCTAACTATCTTTCATCACGTGATTTACTTTTGACCAATCGTAGAGCAAGATTCTCAGTATGTGGAATATAATTCAAGCTAACTTGCCACATCGTCGTTCAGGAGGCAGTCTGCTAGTCGAAGGTGACCAATCGCAATCAGGGCCTCCTTCAACTGTTCACGTTCTCTTGACCTCGGTGTCCTGTTCCTCCATGAATCGAGCATATCACGTGTTCCCTCGTATGTGACAGTTGTGTATTTTTCGTTTGTTTGTATGTAACGTTGTATTACCGCTAATTCAAAACCCAATTGCCTGCCCAGATCAATGATCTCAACATTCTTGTAAATCTTCTCAGCTACTTTCTCGAGAATGTCGACAAATTCCTGCTCCCTGGATTCTTCGGTAGGGCTATATTTGTATGGAGAAAATATGAAATGTTACTCATTATATAATAATCTCACCGATTTTACAATGTGTAGCAGTGGTTTCAAGTTTGAAGTGTGAAGCTTATACTCGAATCAAATAACTGTGATTGTATGTAAATACATAATCTGTATTTCCTCTTGACTTGTCTTCTTTTTTTAATTCGTCTCAAAATACAAGTATATTTTATAATACGTGCCTTATGGATAAATACTCTTATAGGATTTTCCGGATATTTCCGAAGCATAAGCATGGATTGTAATTCTTTTCATTTGTTCTCTCTTATTTCCTTGTTAGATACAATAAGATACAATAGTACAATTTTCCTCTTTTTTTATGATGATTAATGATGATCGTTTTACCTAAGATATGCTTGTAAGTAAGTAAACAACCAGGGGATTGACGGAGAACTGGATCATCATGATTAGAATTAATGCCTTTACCAAATGGTATGAGCGCATTGACTTGGTTTCGAACCCGGGACCTCCCGTTTTAAAACGAGGCCACTGCTCTACAACTAAATCATCGCGCCTTGTCATCTAGCCAGATTATATGGTATATTTCATTTTGTGTGGCGCGGATGACAAGAGTCTAAATGCAGAATATTAATGAGTGTCAGAAGGACGTAATATCGTCAAATTCTTTAAAATGTTGTTATTTTGTATTAACTTTCTTCCGTTGATTAAGATGGGGGCATTTCTCCCAAAGTCAATGTTGTAGTCAAAATTGACGTTGATGATGGCATTGCTAAACCGTTGAATACAAATAATGTACGAGAACGCAAACAATCCTCACGTATATCGAAAATTATTATTATTACTTAAAATATTTTAACGTATTTAGACAGACAAAGGCTGCGTTCATGCTTAAATTTTGAAGGTAGAATGAGCGATCTGAAACGCTCATCGTAAACGCTCATCGTGATCGCAGTTCCACGATGTAGTGTTCATGCTTACTTCTCTGGCTCCCAAGGCAATTCTACGTGTGTGGCCTTAATTGGTCTTCCAGCTGGATTCGCAAACCTTCACTGTGCATGCTACGTAGACCTACTAGAGGTCAGTGCGTTGACCCCATTTAAACGCGTTTACAAATTGTAAACGCATCTTTTTGTGAGTTTACGATCGGCGATCGTGATCGCCGTTTTTCGGTGATTCTACAAAAGTGAGCTAAGACGCAACCGTGTTTTAAACTAAACGCGTAACAGATGCCTGATTCTGGCCGTCAAAATCAAGCATGAACGCGCCCAAACATATTGGCCCGAATTCACAACGGAGGTCTGAGGACAGACCCGGTTTGATCAGACCAAGGTTTGTACAAACCTCGGTCTGAGCTCAAACCTGGTTTATTTTCAAACCCATTCCACAAAGGAAGGTTTGTATAAACCTTGGTCTGTAATTCCCAAACCTCCGACCAAGGTTTGTAAAACTAGTCTCAGCCATAGGGTTTCTAACATAATTTTTATGGGCTAGGGTTTAAATGTTAAGAATTGAAAAAACTGTTAAACTAAGCATTCTTAGTACGATCCGGACATCTTAATGAGCAATCTTGAAAAGATGATGGTTAGAACATCTCTGAAATAAACTTTTGAATTGTATTTTCATGAATTAATCGAACCAAACTGGCGCGCCGATGCAGAAAGTGCCCCACGTACTCACATTTGTGTGGTGCTGGTGAAGCACTCAATCTGACCCAGAACAAATTGACATCGGCACCTGAAAACCTTCGTTAGATAAATACATCTAAGGTTGTCAAGGGCTCTTTTAAATTAACTGTAAGAGTCTTATTGTTTTGGGGGTTACACATTCTTATCAATAAAATCACCTAATAATAATAATAATAATAATGATTTAATATGAATTAAGTTTTTATTGTGATTAATATATTAATTCATTTGATTGCAATTGTTAATTACTATACATCTATATAGTTATTTTGTTAGAATGGTCAATCAATTATTATTTTAACTAGTTCCCCGTTTGTTTCCCCAACTGGCTATTTTTTTCACATCAAAATTGCAACTGGTAAATGATTTGTTTCCATATAATATTAATTTTTAAAAATTCCTCTATGGCCATCTTTTCTTTCTCTCTCCCTCCCTGTCTCTTTCTCTGTCCCCGTCCCTCTCTCTTTCTACCCATTTTTGTTCTCTCTCCCTCCCTTTCTCTATTAATTCTTTTTCTTTCTCCCCTCTTTCTCTATTCATCTTTCTCTCTCTCCCTCCCTGTCTCTTTCTCTGTCCCCGTCCCTCCTCTCTTTCTATACCCATTTTTGTTCTCTCTCTCTCCTTTTCTCTCTCTATTAATTCTTTTTCTTTCTCCCCTCTCTCTCTCTCTCTCTCTCCCTCCCTTTCTCTCTCTATTAATTTTTTTCTTTGTCCCCTCTCTCTCTCTCTTCTTCTTCTTCTTTTTTGCAATGAAACACATAATGCAAAACCATGCAAACTGCAAACACACACATCTGCACCCCCCCCCCCCAAAAAAAAAAAAGGGAGAAAGAGAGAGAGAGATAATCTGACACATATCTATTTCAGTTATCTTTGTAAATATATGAAAGCAAGAATATTGTATTTGTATTTTCATGTTTTACATAAATAATTGAGCATACAACACAATAGTAATCTACCGTTTGTTCAAACAATGCAGTTCACATTTGTAAATTTTGTAGCATGCTTATATAAAATATAGCCCACTAGAGGTTAAGAGAGGCTCTGGAAGGCCAATTAAAAGTCTCACTGTAGCGCTATTAGCAGAAAGAAAATCAGAAATACAACAAAATGGGTGACGAAAATTCAAATTTGCAGATAAAAGTTCTTTAATTCTGACTTCGCTTAGTACAGTAAATAATATTTGTTCAAATACTCTCCCCTAGCTGCCAACCAAATAATTTATATTGACCCACCCCTCAACTCAGCAGTACAATGCTAATTATAGTTAAATCGGGTGCATTTAATCTATAGAGAACACTTAATTACAAATACCGTCAGAGTGACAACAAATACTTATCAACTAAACATAACATCAAAAATATTCAACACCCAGGTTCTTGATGTAATGCTGCATAACTACGAAGTATTGTGGGAACACCAAGGAGGGGCCGTATTTTGAAATACTCTTAGTATTGATGAGGCATGGAACGTCCTCATCCTTGCATTTAATAAATATGCGCTCAATCACACATCTCCCTTTTTTGTGTGTGAAGTGTTAAAGCCCCACTGTACTACTTTTAGCTACTTGCTCCCTCTATATAGAAAACTTCCCCAATCTGTGCCTGTTAATCCCCCATGATCCTCTTTTTCTTATGTTAATTGAGAACTGAATTGATGAGATAGCCTCCCGTCAGTGACCTTGCTGGGTTGTCTAATCCTCTTTGGCTGAACTAGTACAGATGGCCTTTAAAGCACATCTGTGGTCGACCCTCTGAATGAAGAAATGGCTTCTGATGAGGCAGAGAAGGCATGGATACCTGCAAAATTGAATGAACAAAATAAACAATATCATAAACAATATTTTTAATTTCGACTTGTTCATTTTTTTCTTGGAGGGGGGGGTGGGGGGGGGGGTAATACTATAGAAAGGATACAATGTATTGTACACATAATCAGGAATTATTCAATCCTGTGTCACTAATACAAAAACTATGAGGTTCCACTTGACAACAAACTAATCAAGTTGCATCCAGATATCAAAAACATTAATTGTGATTTGTGAACTGAAATTTAAAAGCACATGAGCTCGTTTGAATTAATTACTTAATGCGAGTTGTTACTATATTACCAAATGAACATTCCTAACATGTCACATGTTGGCCAAATACAAAAAAGGAAACAAGATTGATTAAGAAAAAGAATAAACAAATGTTTTCATATAAAGAAATAATCTACAGTACCTACCCTATAGTCTATCTCCAAGAATCAACTGTTATTCATATGCCCTAGCATCAAGCTGTCAATTCAGTGCACACTCAGAAAAGATCCTGGCATCGTGGCTGCTACCAGTCCAGGCCACCTTGCAACGATACTAGTTATTTTCCCAGCATAATCACAGACAACCTGTCAATATGAAATAACATGTTGGCATTCATTAGTTATGAAAACTCACTCATTTCACACTTCAGATAGGCCGTGAAATGTATAAATTTCACTTGTTATTTATGGTAATTAATGCAAATGCAGTTGAATATGTGATAATTGCTTTTCAATATCTATTCATACAACAAAAATTGGAAGAAAATTCTAATTACCCTATATTTATTGACTGATGAAGTATTTCTTCATTTTTAACTCATGTTTTCATTGTTTATCTTGTAACAATGTAAACAAAAATAATCTCACTTTTAACAAAACATTTCGAGCCTAAAACAACAAATGCTTTGTTTGTGTGTGGGGGGGGGGGGGAGGGGGTACCCACTCTCGCATCTTTTTATTTGAAATGAACCTGTTTGTTTTTCTATAGTTTAAAATATATAGTGGTAATTGCCATTGATCAATTTACATGCTTCTCTTTGTTGTTTTTTCTTTCATTGATCAATGGCAAAATCAGTGGCCCAATTGCCATGGCCATCAACAAAATATCAGAAATCTAGAGGTCATATCCGTATTGCCAATAGAAGGATGGAACAAGTTTTGATTTTTCAAATTTCCCTTTCGTTAAAAAGATATTAACGAGTGTTAGGATTTTTAAGTTTAACTATCCATTGGATATTCTTAACTGTGTACAAAGGCAGTGAAATGAGTACCTGTACGCGAATATTACTTTAATATCCATTTGGCCACTAGAAATCTTGCATTGGTCACCAATGAATTAGCATGGATGTACAACACACAAGACTGGAGAGTGTATATATCTAATGTGAAAATTTTGCAAGGTACAAAAAAAAAGGTCTAAAGGGAAAGCCGTGCTGGATCCAGTCATGATGTATTCATTTATTCTCACCTGAACATCGATGGAGTACCTGTTCTTCCTATTGAAGTAGTACCTGGCTCTTGCCCCACCAGGGCTCCTGATGTAAACATGTGTCCCATCAACAGCAACTCCTGGAAATCTGCAGTACTGGAAAAACTGCTTCTGAATAGTAGTCACTATTGCCTTGTAACTTGTAGGAAACTTCATGACTTGTCCCTTTCTTCTGACAACAGCTTCGGAAACATCCCTCACTCACTACTCTCCATTCGGCAAACAGATGAATATGACACGGCATGCCACCTCCTCACGGTGCATCCTTTAGATCGAATTACCTTTTTAAAAAAATTAAAAAAACAAGCATTCAAATAAATCATTTTTTTGCTGGTTTATGCTATTATATTTTTACATCCCCAACTGTCACTGTCACTTTACAAAAAAAAAAATCCTGATTTCTAGATGTGGTGTGAATCAATTTAACGTAAAAGACAAAATTGTCTATGCCTTTTCTAATCTCCTTCACGGCTTCACCTTTTGAAAAATAAGTTTAAGTAGTTAAGTAGTTTTACACAAAACAAGAAATCACAAACCTGTTTCCAACACATAATCTGAATAATTTCCTCATGTATTAAAGCCAAATAACAGTATTGGGAAATGCCCCACACACAAATTATGAACATTAATGCTCCCATCACCTACAGTACCATGTAAAAGAATAAATATCATAACTAATCTATCAATGTATCGAATATGACAGAAAATGCTTAGAAATTGAATAAATTTATGTAAATGCACATGTGTATTGCATTGGGGGCTTGCACAGTCGTAGGCAGACCAGCGAAGCGGGGCAAACGAACAGTGAATTTAGGCGGTCAACATGAATTGAAATATTTCTGCATTTTAATAACGACACTAGTCTAGGGTTGGATTTTACAACAGAAGCCCTTTTTTGTATAGCTATGTTAACAATATTCATCAAGTAGTTTGGCCATGTTTTCAGCAACTTTCCCAATACAGAATTTGAATTCAAAGTAGCCTACCTCAATCTAAAACAAAAGGCTCATCATCCAGCGGGTTTTCCCAATCTCAGACTCAGAGGCCTCTGCCCGGTTGTGCTGCTATATATTGCTCCAGCTCCTCCTTCAGGTACACCAGCTCATTATGCTGAATCAGCTGCATTTCTACCATCTTTATTAGAGTGAAGATAAAATTAAACAAATGTTTAAACAATGTTTTTAAATTAAAGAAATGTTATTACTTGTGCTTGTGACTTTGTGGGTGATCCTTGCTCTGGAGACTAAGCCAGTTAATTAAGACAATCAGAACCAGATCTAAATTTAATAAAACTAAGCTTTGCTTGTCACGACTCATACTAGATCTAGTCATAGACAGAAATAACCGTCCGAGTGATATGGGTCATTTCTTTAATAAAAATAATATTAAAACTGACATTTGTTGACATTCTATAATCGGAGGTCTAGTGGAGCCAGGCGTAGTCTCAGTGAACAACCGGCGATATAGAGAGACTGAAGCTTTTGGTCCATGCCTGTCAGTGTGATTCATTTTGGGGAACATTGGCATTGCTGATGCCATTTTAATTTCTATTTATTTATTTTAGGTACCAGTGTCAGTGAAACAAGTCAAGTGATAGACATCATTGCCAGGCCTATACTAGGCTAGAGCCTGGTATTATTATCATTATCATGAATTTGTAATAACTAGTGTAGGTCTAGGCCTATTCTAATAGGCATGTGTCATGGCATTGCTGACAACAAGACGAAATTAAACATGACAGTCATACTGACATACTCAGATATAGCCTACTGTAGGCCCGGCTAGGCCCAACTCCAGCCCAGGGTCAGAGGGTGCGAGCTCCCCCGCCGCCTTGGGCGTTGGACTCGAGCTCCCTCGGACTCAGTCCCTGAACTCTGGAATTGAGAGGCCGTCGGATATGTAAACACCGAACATTTCATGGAAAATGGAAAGTTATAAAGCATATCACATATTGAAATCTCAGTAACGTGAAGAGTATGGATTCGACTACATGACTACAGGTTTTATACTTACGATTTTAAGGAAAGGATCGAGAGATTGAGAGATTTCAATTGCACTAAAATCGGGCTGACCAGATACTATCGCAGATTGTTTAGGCGGTGAATTATTTGGATAAAATCAATCGAGCATAAATTATCTCCACCCAGTGCTGCATCCTGATTGGTTGATAGCTCTCAAACCAGGTTTGAGAAATTACAAACCTCCTATCTGAGCAGTCTGTAAATTTCGGGTCTGATGACGTACATAAACCTGGTCTGAGGACAAACCTTGCTTTGTGAAATGTAATTTCAGACCAAGGTCTGAACTCAAACCTGAAACGCGTCATATGACGTACATAAACCTTGGTCTGAGGACAAACCGGCTTTGTGAAATGCATTTCAGACCAAGGTCTGAACCAAGGTCTAAAACGCGTCATATGACGTACGTAAACCTTGGTCTGAGCTCAAACCTTGCTTTGTGAATTCGGGCCATCCAGTCTTGACTAGAGTTCTGCCAGTTCAAGTGTGATTAATGCTCTAAAGCATCACCGCGCACAGATCTTTACATTTAATACATGAACCTGTTATGCTAACCGTAAACATTCATTCAGGGAATGCTAGTACATTTCTATGCAAATATACAACCATATATGAATTATCCCATCAATGATATTTAATTAAGAATGATAAGCTAATATTCACATCAGCGATTAAGAGATAATTCGAACCTGGCTTTAGCAGTGGAAACTTCACCGGTTGCTGCTGATGCATCTTTAGGTGGACTGCCAGTTGATGTGGATGCTGACGGCATTGGGGACGCGGAATCTGTTTTATCTGGTGATGCCTCGGTTGTATCTGATTGGAGTTATGGGACATTGTGTTAACTTTGTACAAAAAATATATATTCAGTTTTTGATTTTATTGCTTGCATAATCATGGTGCATTAGAAATGTAAAAAAAAAAATTACAGTCTAATTACACACAAAAACATTTTCAAGTAATTTAATCTTGTAACTTCAATTTAATAACGTATAATAAAAATAATCATGCTATTTGGTACTTCGATTTCGTTTTAAATTGACAGGAAATTAAAATTGTCATACAATCCTCTGCGTGAAATGTGAGTCATTCTTCAACACTGAACTATTAGAAAGTTAGAGCTGTTATAAAAAAGAAAGGTGTTGTGTTTGTGATGTTACAAAATCAAGAGACGACGTCTTTTTTTATTTAAACCACAGTTGCTGCTTTTCACGTACTAAAAGGATTTAAGTTAACAACGAAATACAATGTTGAGCTAAAAAGTGAAAGAAAATATATTTTGTATTGATACTTTGATATCCTTTCCAAATATGAGGAATGTATTTTGAATTCTCACATAAAATTCTACTCAACATGTTTTTACATGTTCTGGCGCATTCATACAGGCCTATGTTTTAATTGTGTTTGTACTGTACATATATCCGCATAATTATGACATAGATTTCAATTGAAAAGCTTAGTGTAAACAGTACGATAAATAGCGATTAAACAAACAAATTGTAGAGCACACACAATGTGTGCTGTATCTCATAAAAAAAATTAGCAGTTTGTGTTAGTTAAAATCCGTATAAATGTCCGTCCGTCCGTTATTTTGTTTGTATACCTCTTAACACATTTTGTGCTTAGTTTAACATTGAATTGATGTGGCAAAGAAATCTTGACTAATATTCCCGGTTGAAAGTAAATGTCAATGTCAGTAAGTTTAGATACAAAAGACAAAATAGAGCCAAAGTCAAGATTACCGTTTGCTTCTATCTCATCCGTCAATGAAAAGGAACATTTCATTTATTCTGTATTCAGGAGGTTTATAGCAACCAAATGTTTCGACACCTTTGGTGGTACCTTTAAAAGTGACTATAAACAGTTCCCTATGGTGCTTTTTCTTCATGCCCTTTAATTGTTCTCAATATGTCAAATGTCCATAGCTGACAGATTGAATGAATGGCAAACGTTTGTGGACCTATAGGCTGGTTTGATTCTATCACATGTTATTTACCTTCTAAGTGCATGGGAACCAGGAGCTGCTTTGTTGTGCTTTGTTCCAAGATGAAATGTAATATCCCTTTAATTTTTACAGGGGTTCGTCTATTCACTGTGAACATCACATTGTGCTCAGTCAGATGGCAAATCTCAATTTCCTGTAGAGTCTGAGAAATAATCACGTATATATGTAAATATACATATGATTATTTTTGAAGTATTTAAATGACCCACATGCTGGCTCTCTTTATTTCTATATATCTCTACCTTATCTACCTCGGAAAATTCATTTGTAACGTTGCTGCTAGATCACTTAAAAACAAAAAGAATGCAAGATGAAAATCGTCAAAGAGCTATTGAATATATTAAGTTATATACCTCTCTTTAGAAATCTAGTCATCTGATTGGTCGAAATTGGAGTCGTTATTTTAGCCATGCCCGCCTACCGGTTAATTTTTTTTTTTTTTAAAGATGCCCGTTTTCCTGGGTAACTGGCCGCATAAGTACATTTTGCTGAGATTCCCATTGGTTTACGTGTAACAGGTTTCTTTGTGCGAGCGCGAATACCATCCAGTGCTTTTTGTCTGCGATTCCCGAATAATCGCTACATTCAGACAACTTTTCAGTGAAGATTTACATACAGCGTCTCATATTTGTTGTGATGTTCTAACCAGTCTTTACTCAAGAAAAGGATAAGGTAAGAATTATTTGTATATTTGTTTGTGAATTCGGTATATAAAAGATATATCGACTGCTTTAATATTCGAAGTAAGCATAGCTGTTTCTATATACTGGCTCTTGGTGACGTCCCGACGCGCCTCAGGGTTATAGCAGGATGAAACGTCCCCTTGAGCCTATAGAAACAGCGATGCTTCTCATAGCAGTTAATATATCTAGACTATATTGAAGATCATCATTCTGCCATACATTCAACTTTCCACTATTAAAAATAATTTGAGCGAAAAAACACAACTAAAGTTGGGTAACATGCTATCCACTGTATTTTAGGTAAAATGTTGACAAACTGATCTGGACAACTGAAATGCTAAGTGGTGTGGGCAAAGTAAATTGCCACACTGCAGATAATCAACCAAAAAGTGCCTAACTCTCCGATTGCAAAATTATGGGTTACATATTATGTGGTCAATCAATAAATAGCTTAACCAGCTGATGTTTAAAAAAAACATCATCCGATTCTATAACTAAACAATTTTTGAGAACATATAGGGCTGATGGCAAATGATGCATTTTTCATTTCTTAAAAAGACCGAGATTTTAGTTTGATAAAAAGAACAGGTTGATTTTAAAGTTTTCATTTAAATGTTACCATAGCCTTGTCTTTCATGGTGCTTTCTGGGCAAGTGATCTTGAATTCTCCATAACGCCACCTAATTAAGAATTGCTCTCCCGTGATCGGAGCCATAAATCCAGGCCGCACCTTGAAAGTTGAGAAAAAGGATTGAATAGTTTAAGTTCAAATGCATTTTCACTCAAAATGTGTAAGCTATAAGTTATAGAGAGAGAGAAAGAAAGAAAATCAAAATAAAGCAGGGTATTGAGACATAAACAGATAAATTCAGAACTACAGAAGTTTAGAATTCAAAAGGCCAGGAGAGGATCTATTGAAGAAAAGTTATCTGCTAACATTACGATAGATAATTATATTAGCCATCGTAATGATATTTTTATAAACATTAATGATAATAATAACGAAATTAATAATAATAATTATAATATTTATAATGATAACAATATCAATTTCTACTATTTTCCTTATTATTTTTATTATTATCTCTTAACATCCTTTTATCGATCAAATGTGCACAATTAAGGACACAAAATAACCCAGGATAAAACTAAATTATAGAAGTTGGAATATAATAATAGTATTATAATTGGGCCTTATATATCCAGGGTAAGCACATCAGCACTGATGATTTTTTCTTCGAAGAGGTCCTGCAACTATTATTACCTCAGCATTGCCAGGTACCCGTTTACACCGGGTTGGGAGTGGTAAAGTGGATTAATGTCTTGCCAAAAGACGTCAGTGCCTGGCTTGGATTCAACCCCCAAACGCTTGGATTGGTAGTCAAGTGAATGAGCCACAATACCACGAAACCTCTATGTATAACCCCTTTATACCTAAACTTGATGAAAGTTTACGACTGTACCTAAATGTTGTATATGTACTTTAAATGCAAACGAAGAAGATGACGATGGAGAACAAATTAAGTAGAAGAAAATACAAAAAGGAAGAAAACCAACCTCTCCTTCTCCGATGTTGTCATCTCTAACACGGACGAACAACATAAAATGGTCATCATTATCCGGAGTTGACACTGGAATATATGGTGTACAGATAACACGTTTTCCAAAGAATGCCCATTTGATGATAGCTACTATCCAAATTTCGGAAAAGTGGTCCATGTAGACATCTAGGTCGCGATGTCTTACAACACATCGTGGGCCACCGTCGGTAGAAGAAATCGCCGTAAAACTTTCCGAAGCTATTTATGGAAAATATCAACAAAGAAATCTAGTAAACGTACGTTTACCAAAACCTTCGCACAACTTACTTTTGTACAGGGCCCCATTCTCACAAGCTTTGCTTTTCTTGGGGTCCTTCCGATTTTGCTGTTAATTTGATATGTATTTTATTTTGAATTTTAATGGAAAATAAATGAAATGAAATGAAATAACTTTAGTATCCGAAAATAAATTTCAAAACCTATATGTTTAGAAAAAGTATCGCAATTTTTACATCATATAACAAAATATCTATTCCTTCATTTAATGAATGACAATTTGAAAGGAACAGAGAGGGTAATAGAGAGATCGAGAAAAAGAAGACTTTACCATTCTTTCGATAATAAATGACGACTTCCGCAGCCTCTGGCTTTGTGAAAATACCACAATGGGGCATCGTTACTGTCACAGGATTGTCAAAGGTTGCATCGGAGGGCGACAACCTTAGACCGACGCAAATGATGGCTTCCGTTTCCTTCAGCGCCAACTCAGATGGAATGTCATGGATTGGTTCGACAGTGACATCCTTTGCTCTGTATGCTTCGTTTGGTGGAATTCTTACTTCAATACCATGCTTCTCAAGCCGAATCATGCCAGTATCATCACTCAAATCCTCCCTTCTATCAAGATTGTGAGCTTCGGTTTCATCCTCGTGGGCGCTCGGTTGAGAGATATGGTGAACGGACTCTAGTATCTGTCCCTCGTCGTCTGTAGGTTTTGAAGTGTACTGACGCGGTCTGAAATCCACCGGCTTTGCTTCTTCTACAGATTCCATCCATGCAAAAACAGCTTGCGTCGAATGCCCCATTTCTGTAAATGAATTTCGGTTTTATACTACCAATAATAATTATAACTGGACTATATAGCGCCTTTCTTAGTAATACAAGTCACTGCCTCTTATATTGAGGACATATAAGTGTTTGCTTTCAGAGTATTTTTTTAAAGGAAGTCATATGAAATACTTTTTCTCATAATACAGGGAGATAGTTCCATAGGCCCGAGTTAACAGATTGAAAGAATGTGAAGCAAGGCGCGTACGCAGGGGGGGGGGGGGGGGGGGGCTTTGTGATTTTGTTTTTGTTTGTTTGTTTTTTAAATTAAAAATAACAAATAAAAAAATAAAAATATTATGCCAATGGCTGACCTACAAAAAAATGACCTCCCCCCCCCCCCCCCCCCCCCCCCCCCCCCCCCCCCCCCCCCCCCCCCCACAGAGCAAAATGTCAAATTTTCAAATTCCGAGACCAAACAAAAAACAAAAAAAAGTGTCCTCTTACCCCCACCCCCCTGCTTATTCAGCGGCTGGCTGAGTCGTTGAAAAATTTTCAGCCAGATTTAAAAATGTTAAACATCCCCCCCCCCCCCCCCCTTGAAAAAATCCTGCGTACGCTACTGTGTGAAGCCAACCTGCTTTCTGAATTTTGGGATTGGGAAAGGAAGGAGCCGATTTAGATCGAAACATGACGTTAACTGTTGCTGAAGGAATGGGTAAATTCATAGAGGAATGTGGTTGACAAAGATTTAAAAGTTCGAAAGTTTGAACAAGCATTCGGTATTGTAGTTCGCGTAAAAAAAATGGGTAGCATGTGACCATTTCAGCGCCTGACAGATTATCCTTCACATTAGCATTCAACAAGCGATAACATTGTGGGGTCTGTCTGTGATTTGGAAATTTATGTAAAGTATCAAAAGAAAGATGAATAATTGTTTACTGTACGTCGTTACTTAAATTTGTCACATGGCATGTTTAGGACATATATTATGAGGAATTAGAAATATAATCCTACTTCCGAAAAGAAATACTGACTTTTAGGTATTTTGATATTTTAATGATTGATTTTACAATAAGAATAAACAAATTTACATAGAAGATACTGTAGTACATTTCATTCTTGCATTTCATTTTTTCTTCATGGTACTTTTTTAATTGTCGTTTCATTAATATTGTATGAAAATGAACATGTAAACATTATTCAATTACTGCACTTTGGAACGTAATCCATTTCTTTACTTGCCCCCAAAAAGATATAAAGGGGATGATTACCTTCATCTTCTTGATGCTCGTCAATACTCAGATGCCTATAATAGAAGACCAAAATTGTAGGGAATTCTTGAGCAACATCCAGGTACAGACAAAAGATACGTTTCATCTATAGCAATTTAAGATTCTAAGAATCTAAGTTCAATTGATTCAGTTGATCATCATGTTGACATTTCATATGACTATCCAGTAGAAATTTTCGAAAAATCAAAGAAGGTGTAGAAGTTGTCAACATAAATATAGTATAGGCAAGTCTTATCCCAACCTCGCTGGGGATTTGCCCTTGATAGGCCTTTGGCCTTTGTTAGTCAATAAAATACATGATTTGAAGTCAGTTTTCGCAATTCTAATTACAAGTAATTGTAAGCAAGAAAAACAGACAAAATACCTTTGATCTCTTTCACGTATGTGTCTAGAAGTTAAGGCGTTCCATTTACGCGCACGATCAGAACGGGGAATACCTTCGTCATCTGAAATGAACATTTAATAAACGAAATATTATTATAAATATCCGTTTGAGACTCAACAGACATACAAGTATTTACACTCGACCAAAATGCTGAATTGATCTTTTGTCTCATTTCAAGAACCTTCTAACTCACAACCTACATTAGAACATTGCAATGGCTTTTTAACCTCCAATAGCAAGATACCTGAAGCATCATGCTGTTCAGAAACACTACCCATATGTTTATAATGACTTAAGTATTAACAAATAATTAGGGTATACTACACCCTTTTTATTCTGTTATTCAACAATTAAAAGAATAAATTTAGTTCTGGACAGGGCAACTTACAAAGTTTCGGAAAGCGACCCTCCTCCTCCTCTAGAAACGTGCTGAAACTGTATGATGATAATACAAATTTTAAAAAACATCAATAACAATACTACTACTATTACTACTACTACTACTACTACTACTGCTAATAATAACAATAATAACAATGATTATATAATAATGACAATAATGATAATAATAATATTAATTATGATAATAATGATAATAAAACTTTGTTTAACCATAGAAGCCACATCAGCCTCAATGCTGTTCTTCCTGAGGCCCTGCAATTATTATTGCTCATGATTTCTTGTCTGAACGTATTTGGATTTTGTCATAGAGAGAGAGAGAGAGATTTTTATCGCCAATCAAAATAAACGCCAAATCCATCCACGATCTGTAATAGTTTTTCCTCAAAACGTGTTTAATCTATTCATTTTGTTAAATAAAAAAATACGGTCCTTTGACAAGAGGCTATAACGCCATTCTAGTTTTATCTTCCTGACAGAAGCTAGTAACCAATAAAACCCATGGAAACGCATTACGAAGTCATTTTCTACCTGCTAAACGAGTCACTTCTAACACTTGGAGTGTTAGCTCGCTTATGATGAATCCTCTCCGCCCAATGCCCCCTTGCTCCTGGAATCTGTAGAGGGGGAAACAAACCATCAGTTGCCAAATAGGCATATTTAACTGGATTACAGCAATACTAGTAAGATTTGACACTAAATACAATAATTTTTACGTCTCTATGAGAACAAAAATTCCTGATTTAATCGTCAAGGGCACTCCACATGGTAGCTTAGTAGCTAAGAGCTCATTTCCTAGTACGTCCAACGTATACTCTTTAGGGATATAATCATGAAAGAGCAAGATTGAATTTCTTTTGTAAAATCAATTTAGCCATATTGCGTGGTATTCTCAAAAGCGGACTAACTTTAGTCAATGGTTTAATCCACCGACTAAGTATGGAATGCCAAGTGTCAATATGAATATATTTTTGAATGATTTGATATGTCCCTAAATTACAATGATAACATAATTATATCATAGTTATATTGTTTTTTATTAATTATGTTATTACATTTTAGTTTAGTTTAGTGACAGATTAAATTATTCAAAAACATATTCATATTGACTATTGGCATTCCATACTTAGTCGGTGGATTAAACCCTGGACTAAAGTCAGTCCGCTTTCGAGAATACCACCCCTTTTAACGCTAAAACAGACATCCTATGAGACTGAAGATATTATAAAAAAAACTTAAGAAAGCAGAAGCTACATGGCAGCGACATTTTTTGTTTGTAGTCGGTCCATTGGACTGCGTTCTGAAGGGCTGTATGTAAATAATAACAATATTTGTTCACAGAGTAAATATCATTTTCATTTTGTGTATCTTGGATGAAAACGTTATATCTTTTTATCGGTCTCAAACAAAGCATTTCACCCTATTTATAGAGTAAAATTTTAGCATCTGTTTTCTTTTCTTTTGTATAGGGTTATACAAGAAATTCAGTGTTTCATTGGTTTGATTCACCAGATATTAGAGAATGCAGAAAAGGTAAAATTTACATCAACGATATTGACTACAGATTATTCGAAAACCTTCGATAGAATAAACCACAATGTTTTAGTTAAAAAACTTCTCAATCTCGATGTCAGACCATGCCTTATTAACTGGATAATGAGCTTTTTGGATAATCGATTACAGTGTGTCAAATATAATGGAACAAAATCAAACTGGAATGTCATAAATTAGGAGTTCCACGAGGAACAAAACTTGGACCTTTATTTTTTTTGATACTAATGAATGATGCATGCCAAGATTCCATTATACCGTATTTCAAATACGTAGACGATTTGTCAATGGTAGAAAGCAGGAGTATATGTAAGGCTTCAAAATTACAAGATGAACTTCGCAAACTACAGGAATGGTCTAATAGGAATGATATGAAACTAAATGCCTCTAATTGTTACAGTTATGCAGATCTCCTTTTGTAAGCAACCTGTACAACAGACGGCCTTGTTTATTAATGATACCCAACTATGTAATGTAGAATCTCCCAAAATATTGGGTTTGATCGTACAGAGTGACCTTAAATGGAATAAACAAGTAACTGATCTCTTGAACAGGAGTAACAAGAAGTTGTACATACTCAGGAGACTGAAATCATTCAAACTACCTACTGCAGATCTTATCACCATATTTAGAGGATATATAAGACCAATTGTAGAGTACTGTGCCCCTGTGTTCAACGGAGCTCTTACAAAACAGCACATCTATGCACTTGAATCAATTCAAAAGAGAGCATGTAGAATAATTGTGGGTAGTAGTTATACTTCATACGATGTTGCATTAGAAACATGTAACTTAGTGACTCTTGAGGAATGAAGAAAACAATTATGTCTTACGTTTGCTCATAATCTGGAAGAAAGTCCCTTTTCATTGAATTGGCTAGTTAAAAACAGGGAAGTCGCTACAGCTTGAGGAGAACAACAAAGTACACCCAGTACAAGTGCAAAACTAACAGATTTAGAAAGAGTGCAATACCATACCTTATAGATCTTCTAAATAATGAATAATTGAAATGTATTTTTACATAATGTTTATATTAACAATATTTTACAAATATTTTTACCATCATCTAATGTTTTAATACGTACCCAACTATGATTTAGTTTTAATATAGGAAACTATATGTTTTACAACATACTCTGGAATATGTTTATCTTTTTACAGAGACATCAATTTATAATTATATACTAACCGTTGATGAACTGGCAACATAGAGCAACATTTTGCTAACTTTTAATTTTCAATAAATATGAATTGTAAAGGACACAGGTGCAATAATTTCAGTATTAGCTTTATAACTTATGTGTATGTTATGTATTGTATTGCTTTTGATCAAATATTGTTATTACTATTGTGAACTTTAATAGATTTTAAAATGTAAATAATATATAATGATTGATTTTAAATGCTACACATTAATACTGTTAAATGTTACCAATACTGTTTGAATGAATGATTGTAACAAATAAAATATAATGTTATGTAATGAAGCTCATGTATACATGTAAACATGCACAATTCAGCATTTTGGCTGCGAGGCATTGTTTTTTTAATAAAACCATTATTGAATTGAATTAAATTACAGTGGCCCACATATATTAGTCGTCAAAGGCAGTGAATAGTATTATATGTATTGCTGTAATATTCTGTCCACGAATCATAAAGGCTCTTAGCTAAATCGAGGAAAATCTATCTGTCAGGTTTAGGCCTGTAGATGCTGGAAGGAGTGGAAGCGTTGTAAATTGTATGACTGCTTCGTAGGGCTACATGGGTAACGAGTGTAAAAAATAGTCACTAACGTCTATCCCACAAATAAGTGGGAAATATCTTGGCCCCGTTGCTAAAGCCTACCTTTGATGGTATTTTGCCATTAAAATAATTGTAATTTCCATCGAAACCTTGATTTGATTGGCTGTTGAGTAATGTTGTCGTGGTAGTGACGGCAACGTTATCACCAGTGATAAGTCTCATGCAACGGGACACTAGTTTGGAATTATCAACAAGTACAAGTCTCTGGAAATATTAGCGAAAAATACCTACCGCATGGGAACACTCACCTCCATCTCATATGCACGTAGTCGTAGGCCTACTGTCGGATTGGTCCATGATTCTTCACGAGGGAATTCTCCTTCGAAGACTTCTTTCATCTTTTTGTCAGGTTTCTTTCCTTGAGAGAGAAAGTAGAAATATGAAGGCCATTCAAAGATGTTTGTCAACCTTGATGATCAATTAAATTTGGAGAATAAAGAGGATAGCACGATCCCTCATTTTTTAAAGAAATTTTGTATATCCCCTGGTTTCTTTCGGGGCGTTCTTACCCGCTCTTCGTCGTTGTTTCAAAGCAGGGGCTGAATCTCCTGAATCACTCATGGACTTCCACACTTCTCTTAGATGATCGTCTGCTAGGGAGACGGAATGATACAAGCATTTCCAATGGCGGATCATGATGATAGCAGCTTTTTGATTTGGGGTATAAACCCCAGCCTCTTCATGTTGTCTGCTTCTGAACTGGATGCTGTCAAGTGTATGGTAGGACAAACCCAATGCTAGACCAAGCTGGTAGTACTGATCAGTGTTCATCTTTTTTGTGATGAATTCTTCACTCGGAATGTCTTCGGCGTTGCTATAAAAGGATATACAAGGGAGAAGAGAGAGAGGGGAAGAGAATGCCGTTATGTTAGTATTAAAAGCTTGATAATGTCATGACCTATTATCCCAACCAGATCTGAATTAAGTAACACTACCTCCGTTAATTGACTCTGAGTCTCTTCTGTTCCTGGTCATGATCCCTGAAGTTGGTTTCTTTGACCAAAAAAGAACTTTAGCGTTCGCGAGTGTGTTACATATTTCACACATTTTGGATTTTATCCCATCACTTTGAAATTAAATGAACATGGTCGAAAAAGTAATATTCATATCGTCACTTTGGATTGCATTCCACAGTCTGACCTTCAAGTCTTTTACCCCGTGTCCACACACAACATTTTCCGTGATTAGGGGTGATTAGTTATACCGTTTCGCGATAGTTATACGATGAAATTGTGTGTGTCGACGCTTACTAGCTATACGTCGTATAACGAAACAATGCCCAAACTTGCGTTTCGTTTATATACGACGTATAAAGAATCACGCCTAATCACGGAATGTGTTGTGTGTCGACGTTACTAGTATAACTAGTCGAACTAGAACGGTATAACTGGGCGGGGCTTAACGTGACTTCGAGCGAAAGGAGACCTGACCTCTCATTTCCGCTTCCATTTCATGATCGCAGTAGCAAACTGCGCACCTATCCGATATTTCGCCGTAGAGTTTCAAGATTACTTTTGTCTGTGTGTGGACATCCTGGAATATATACGATGAATCTTTATACGACGTTTCGTTATAGAGTTTCGGGATACATTGTTTTGTGTGTGGACACGCTGTTATTTAGATTTGCGTTGACTGATACGTGTGACGTCCATTCAAGGCAGTGCATTAAAAGAACGTCGATCGTAGCAATCCACATTGTTTTCGTGCCTATTGACTTGCAGATTCCTATTTCAGGGGGAAGTAAATTCAAGGCCCGAATGGCTCTTGGGGGGGGGGGGGATCAGTATTGAATCTCATGTTGATAGAGATAATGTGGTGTCCCGAAGTTGTTGCCAATTCAGTTCACTCTTCAGGTCTGATACATAGACGTCCATTCCGCATTTAATTGCCAGTGACAAGTTTTGCCCGTATCTTCTAAACACCCTCTGGTTTGTTGATGTGCTTGAATGCTTAAATAAGGATCCCACACGCTACATGCGTATATTCAATATGTTCAAGATAAGGCCTTACTAAAATTGAGAACAAGAGTAAACGCAGCTCTCTGAATATTCTTGGTTGAGAGGCTAGATGGTTTTCATCCCAAGCATTGCATTAGTGAATTCTTGAATTGATTGGTTCTCCAACAATAGGTTTTGGTCAACTCCGAAGTAAGAATTGTGGTATGCTTCTGTGAGAGTAGTACCGTTGATTGTGTATATTCGGTTGATAATAATAATAATAATTATAAGATATTTGTATACCGCAAATTGCAAATTGCCTCTAAGCGGTTTAGAAGAAGAAAAAAAAGGGAGGAAGTTGATAGGTAAAGGAAACAGAATTTGCATTACAAATTACATCAATTCAATTAACGTTAAAACTTTGCAAATGAAAAGAAAATACATGTACATAATTACAAACCACATACAACCAAATTACAAAAAAGTTCATAAATTAATAATATCCTTTATAAACCTCACTTAAGTAATCCAGCAATCTGATTGGTCGAAATTGCATTCATAAACTTTAACTGTTCCCAGTAACCATGGTTACCGGGAAAATAGTTCAGTCTCCATCGTTACCCCATAGGTTTACATGTTAAAAAATGGTCTGAGCGATCGAGGATACCGTACGTGTGCGAAGAATTGGTCGGTAATTTCAATACAATTAATTGAATCTCGATCGATCTTACCGACAATTTTATCTTGCATTGTTGACATGAAGACGAAAATAAACTTCCAAAAACAAAAAAAACATCTGCCGATAGATCTTGATCTAAGTTCGTGCCAATATGCATTGCAAAAGTAAAAGAAGGGCCCGTTTAATGGAGCAGCGGCGAAGCATCCACCACGCGAAGCCGTTTTCAATCCATTTTAATGTATATATTAGAGAAAACTGCTATATATGGTGACAGAGCGCGCTGGCCGAGTGGTTTAAGGCGCTGATTTTAGATACATCACCTTTTGTACGCAAGAGATCGAATCCCATCTTCGACAAAAGTTTTTTTATTTTTTATTTTTTATTTTTTAGTCTATTTTTTTTCGGCATATAAAAGTATTAATGACTGCTTTAATATTCGAAAAATAATTGTTTTTATACGCTCTCGGGAAGGTTACAATTGGGCTATTGCCCTCGGCACGCCTCGGGTAATAGCACAATTCTAACCTTCCCTTGAGCGTATAAAAACAACTATTTCTCTCAAAGCAGTCATTAATACTATAACATTAATCTACACAAAGTATAAAAGGCAAAAGGTCAAAAGGGCTATTCAGGAACAAGACTTAAAGTGATATGTCTCTACAAGTCTTTCCAATGATACAGCAATGCATTATTAATGTACCTCGTGTAATGATGTTCATATTGTTTATATGACACGATCGACATTATATTTTTTCCATCTTGATTATGTTATATTTGAATAATTTAATATAATAATAATAATAATAATAGTCACAATATTGGTCTAGAGCAAATGACGCAAAAAAAAAGAACAGTAGTGATATTATTCGGTAAACAGGGATTTACACAACAAACATTGTTCATGTAAAATTGTATTTTTCTAAGAGTAATTTTACCTGAGGTCAAAACTTGATCCAGGGACCATCTCATATAGGGTCGAGTGTATGTCGGCGGAGAATCCTTGGAGAGATATGATAAAATTGTTGAGTGAACCCATTTATCTTATTGGTACAAGATTAGTTTCGATTCCGGGTATTGCGTTATTTAGGTTATGATAATTGCGTAAAAATTAAAGCAATATTCATATTTTTGTCCTACTTTAAAATCATTCAATGATAGGTTTTCGTCAAAATTCTTGCCCATACCAATCCAATATTTTACTCATTAAACATGTTGCAATATAGGGATGTATATTTATTACAAGTAGGTGTTTTTATGTATTTATGTCACCACAATCTTATCCCTGATTCTATTTCCAAATTGTTTATTTTAAACTGTAATGTTCATAGTTATAATACTAGAAATGCTAAACAATTTCACTTGCCATTGACTCGAACAGTACTAAACCAAAAAATAATTATTTTCCAAGGACCCTTTTTATGGAACACTCTTCCCCATTATATTCATAATTCTGTTAGTGTAAATGTTTTTAAACGTAGGTATAAGAAATTTCTTTTAGATAAACTGCAATAATCATTTAAGTTCAAGACATATTTTATTTGTTTGTTGTATGTATGTTTGTTGTCTTGATTTGAGTATAGTATAATGTTTAGTAACGGATATATTTCATATTTGTTTATTATAAAAAAGGGTCAACCTTTATATAAGGATTACTTTTTTCCTTTCAGGTTGCAACCTATTCGGTTTATTTTATGTCCAAATGTCAAATATGTTCGTAATGTGTATTTTATGTTATATAGCTGGTTGTTATATGAAATGTTGTCTTTTTAAACTGAATGAAATAAAATTGAATTGAATTGAAAAAATCAAAACTTTGGAAAGTTATAATATAAACATAATGACAAATATGCAGTGATCCTCGATTCCATGAAAATGATATAATTGAAACATTTTAAAACGATAAACGCCTTTGTTTATATTTTTGAGAAGAAAGAGGAGAAGGAGAAGAAGATTGACAAACCAGTACGTATAACCACGAATGTCATGCTGGTTTTTGGTTGGTTGGTACTTGTTGCTGAAACCGATACGTTAATCATCTGTGTTCTGGCATTGGTTTCCGTCGTGATGGGCAGCAAAACCAGTGTCTTCTGCCCATTGAATAAATCTTTCGCATAGATGATCTGATAAAAAGTTATATTGACAATATTTAGTGTTTATTTCTTCCTACAACATTGGGGCAGTTTAAAAGACGTTGTGGGCGAATTTAAGACGCTTGTACCTGCGCCAATTGCCACTCGATAATGTCCAACACTAATCGAATTTAGCCATGTGCCCAACACAAAAACCAGACCTAATCTTAACACTTACGCTAGACCTAACCTAAAACCAAAATGCACCTCTGACACTTACCCTATTCTTTCAACGAAATAGAACAACTAGCGAGTGCAACGCCAAATAAACACCTGACTTGATTTTAACTCTAGTTCATGACACACACGCATATAAATTAAATATATATGTTTATATACGAAACAACTCAATCATCCATACATCTTTTTGTGCTTTTCGTAACTGAAGAATGAAGGGCGGACTGGTTAAAAAATGGCCTTTGTTGAATACCTTTGAATGTAAGCTTGAATACGTTGCATTCTCAGGAAACATACAACTGTCTAAGATATAATATACACTCTAATATAGCCCTGATTCGAGGCGTTTCCTATACAAAGTGTATTATTATATACATTTTCATTAGCTGGCCGTTTACAACTTGGCCAAGAAAATCGCTTTGTATTTCATGCCTTGTCTCAAGCACATCTTTAAAATAATTAGAATGCACAGACATTCAAACCTAACAAGAATAAGGATAATTGTTACCTTTCTTTCCCCATTGCATTCCATCTCAAGATCACTTGACTCAGGTTCAAGACCAAAACATCTCCCAGGATGTACCTGATGGTGAAGCAGATTTTCCTCTTCTTCCTGAATTTTCTGTTTCATATTAAGAACATACACAAAACAGTGACAGCAGATCTTATGAATGTAGTAATTGGAATTATAATAATAATGATGATCACCTCACTTTCTACGATCTGCCTAAGTCGATTAACAGTGTCTAACAGTTCTAAAGTATTTTCTCCCAAATATTTTACATGTATAATTTGATGAAACGATTTTCCTTGAATTAACTGTCTATATCAAGAAGGTATTCTTTTTAAAGAATGTCTTTCTTTTGCTTTGTAGTTTTTTTTTCATTAGGATTCATGCATAAAATCATAGAAATTTTAATTGGATAGGGAATATGATTGTATTCTTAACATCATGAACAAGGTGATGTCAGTCATCATTGTTAAGAAAGGATACACATGAAATTAGAGGTGAAATAGAAAGAGAGCATCTTTTTGTTTTCCTTCTATTTCTACACTGATAATAATTTAAGGGATATAACTTTGTAAGAGAGATAATTGTGCCATAAAGATCAAACATTATGCTTTTTCAGATAATGATTTCTTTTTAAAGTGATAACAAGATATATGTAACCATTTGCAGCTATGCCATGCCCTTTCTTCAGCAGTATAGAAAGTGATACTTTCTTATTCAGACATTATATAATCGATCAAAATAATAGACCTGTATGTATTCAGCATCCAACGGATGTGACTAGATCCATCTCAAAATGATACATATTTCAATGTAATCATTTATAAAATGTTTATCAAAACAAAAGAATTCAATTCAATGGTAGACTTGGCACTCTGTGATAGGTAAAACACAATTTTCAATATTTTTCAAAAGGGTGTATTCAATTTTGTTCGATTGTTATAGATATGGTAAATAAAACAGTCCAAATAAAGATACTTGATAAACACACACAAATATATAATAAAGTCTAAAATTATGTTCGGAATTCAAGCAAATACACATAATTACAATAAATAGTAATGCTCCGTATACGAAGAAATAATATGGGGATAGGATACGCATATTTTGGCGCAAAACAATAATATTTTTTCAAAGCCAAATACAATCATTACTTGACAAAGCTCTAAGTGCAAAATTTCGAAATTGCTCTCCGTACACGCGGCATCATTGTTTATTGGAAATTTGTATACATATATATATATATATATATATATATATATAAATTACCTGAACAATGCAAGGTACATCTTCATGTATGTACATGCGGAGTGTGATGTCTTCCCCCTGTGCCATGTCAACGGGAAGAAAAGGGGTGCACACCATTCGTTTACCATGACTATGATTATGAAGCGTGATCGGTGTCCATAGCTGTACCTTGTCCTGAATTACAGATTTGGCATCAATGACGAGCTTGATATTCCTTTCCTTAAGGATACATTGTGTATTACAATCATCAAGGGACCGTTCACGGTGAACTGTAAACAGTTCCATATTAACAGGGAAAAAACAAATACAATTGTGTTTTTATATACGTTTGCTTTCTTTTGTATGACCTTCATTGATCTGATGAATTTGACAATTCTTCAATTCGTTGCTAAGTGCTTCATTTACAGCATTCGCGTTAGGTGAGCTAATGATGAATTGAAGAAATGATGATGAAAAAAGGACATTATTTTCATGAAGAAAAGAAATATATATATATATATAGGTGAGTGAGGAATGTATGAACAATAATCTTGAAAAATACAACGCATCTTTACATGAAGTTAAAACATTAACACTTTCGCTGCGCCGATTAAGAGGGTCACTTGAATGTAACGTGGCAAATCTTGAAAAATATTATGTTGTGATTACAACTTCCTTGAATCCTCCTATTGACAACTAACCTGAGGTTGATTTAGTTTGTTTCCAGATAATGTCAGTATGAACATCGTTTGAATTCAGCAATGTTGCGGCATGAGGAAGACTTAACGTTATAGGCTGGTTCTTGGAATAGCGCCACTGTGCAGGGAATGTGATTCCAATGCCATGGCCTGTAAGAAACTCCCTCTCTCGGATAGGTGGGGGATCATCAGTAACTAGAGCTATAGATACATTATGACAAGAGCCAGCCTGCACTGTCCCAGGTGGAATCGACATTGTTATGTCACAGCTGTCCAAATGTAGAATCCCTCCTTCACAGCCGATAATGCGATGAATCTCAGTAGATCTTGCAATCGGTAGATCTACATTTTTTTCATACGAAAAAAAAGGGTAAAGTTAATCAGATAGGGGAAAACAGTGGAATGCTATGAAACCTTTGTGAGAAGTAAAAGCACTGAAAATCAGATAACATACATACCGCGGAATGTATGAACATCATCTTCGGACAAGCTGTCAAAAGAACAAACAAACAGAAATGTTGTACGAGTCTAACTATAACTAGATTGTATTATTTATCATGCAGCCATGTTTTATGTCATACAATTAATATCTTGTTTTGTATAACAGTGATATATCAACATTTTGTTGATTATTTGCACTTTAATATCATCATTTAATACACAATATTAAATTTTGTCTTTATGAATGATGTTTACATCAAAATAAAATAGGCAATCGAAAAATCACATGAAAAATTCATCAATCTGTCAGCAGGGTCATACAATAATTGTAGGAACTTTGTACATAAATTATGTGGTCATATTTATAAGATTTTATATCCTTGAGTTGATGAATTTAATTTCGATAAATTTTATGCAGGATCTATTTTTACAGAGTCTGATTAACTCATTCTTTAATACAATTTTCTCACCTCCGTAAAACCATTTGCCTAATGCGCTCCTCTCTAGCATACTGTACCGGTGTAAAGCCTTCGTTGTCCTTGATGTCGACCTTGGATCCTTGATTGATAAGGAATTGTATCAGAGCCTCCGCAGGGGTTATGTCATCATCACTCTCTTGTTGTATCTGCATGAAAGGGTTAAAGTTTCGTGAAGAAAAAAAGAAAAAAAAAAGCCGACCGTAGATTTTAAGATTTGTGGGTCGGTCGCAAAGGGCAATACACCATCTTTTTTTTTAAAGGCCTTATAGGACGTAAAGAAATCACTCGTCCGCACGTACCCATCCACAGACACAGACACACACACGCACACACACACGCACACACCCACATTCATATATACTCGCATATGTGCAGATTAGATAGACTAACATGTCTCAGCGAAATAGAAACTAAAACAAGAAATACGTAACCTGTTTCAAAGCTGTCGTCACTTCAACCTGTCTTTTCTTACAGTGGCATAGTCTGATGGCATCATGTAAGGGCGTCTGGCCATCGTGTGATTGAGGATTTAAACCAGCACCTAGTGATATCAACTTCTCAACGATTGATGTTAGGCCGCTTACAGTAGCGAGATGAATGGGCGTTAGACCTGCACTGTCACTGTGATGTATAGATGATACATCCTGCGAACCCCCCCCCCCCCCCCCCCAACAAAAAAGGAAGAAGAAGAAGAAGAAGCAAACAAACGAAACAAAACGAAATAAATATCAAATAAACAAATAAATGAAGGACTTTAAACAAATTTCCATGTACTCTTGTGAATTTGGATGAATTAGAGAATTTAATTAAATTGAATTATATACATTTTAAGTTTTATTTAGTCAATATTTAATCATATATACATGTAAACATACTTTTTATTACGCTATTCTTGATATATAGCACAGTATATAAACGATGACACTTGATAGATAATGCATTGTTGTCCAACTTTCATTACTATCATTATCAGTATATAATAAGGCAATACACATGTACTATTAGCTTGTTATTACCATCATCAACAATGTATGAGTGCAATTAGCAGGCTTAACAGCAGAACGTGGGGATCTTTTTGATAAAGTGTAAGTAGTAGAGTTAATGGGGGAGCAGTTGTGATATGAGTGATGGTAGTACTGAAGGTAGTACATGAGCCATATGACAGAAGCTAAATTAATAAACACAATAAGCTGAATGAGTTACAGCTGCACGTACCTTATCAAGAAGTATCCGTGCAGTTCCAGCATTGCCAGAGTTAAGTGCAATACTTATCGGTGGCTGGCCTCGTCTAGAAAGTCTCGTGCTCATAATCGCTTTCCGGTCCAGTAGATCCTTTATTATTGATTCATCCCCACTGTAATAAAACAAGAAAACAAGAAAACGTATTACAATAAATGTATATCGGTGTATATATATGTATGTATATAATATAATTATTTATAGCATGCTTCTGAATATATAAACGAAATTTGATTTACTTAAAGATTTACTTAAATGGCAAATCTTTTTGGCATCATGTTTTTTTAAGGAATCAACCTACATACCGTTATTGTAATTAGAGTAGACATGTATTTCTAGCGGAAATTTGGTTGTGTCTGATTCATTTTCAAGTGTACATCTCCTATGCAACCGCTGATAAACCGACCGATGAAAATGAGATCCAAAAAAGTAACATGTTACAAAATATTTAGAGAAAACTAGGAAAACTTGTTTTGCTTTGATGATAAAAAGGGTGATTATTTTTGTTGAATGAGGAGGAGGCGTGATAGCTCAGTTGGTAGAGCAGTGATCTTGTAATCCGGTGATCTGAGTTCGAAACCAAGGCGATGCGCTAGTGCCCTTTGGTAAAGCATTAATCCTCATCACCAGGTCTTTCGGAGAGGACCTAAAACTGTCGGCCAGGTAAAATAAGCACCACTACACACTTCAAAAACAAATGTACCGACTCTATACAATCGAACCATTGTAGTAGTTTGTGGAACAGTACTGTAGTTAAATGAGAAACACTTTAAAAGTATGCTTAATGTTGTATTATAAGCAGTTCACCTTGCTGCAGCATAATGGAGGGCTGTCCATCCTTCTGCATCCTCTGTCCGAATATCTGCATTGTTTTCGAGCAACAGACGTAGACAGTCCAGATGTCCGCCCCTTGCGGCAACCATAAGTGGCGTGACACCTTTTAAGGTCTGTAAGATAAATAATATCGGTACCGTGCCTATATTTTTAAGTAGGCCTACAATAAGATACATGTAATCCTACTCTAGTTTCATCAATGAATACAGTTTGCACTTAATAAGAGACAATCTGGGAAAATATCGAATGCTTACTCACTTGGATCATTATTGCGTTGATAGAAAAATATATTTTACGTTATAACAAACTACTGATTCGACATTAAAATCAAAATCTTATCATAAGTATTCAGTAATGATATTTCGTGTTACGGATATCTCCAGCACTGCTGGTAGTTAATCATTATTTCGTTACAATGAGATTTAAGAAGCTCTGTGCAGAATAAGCGGGTAGGTCACTTGTAAGATCCCATTAGCCAGTCCGAACTCATAATGTTAAGCTTTATACGTGTAACTCTGAACACTGTAAAATGTCCCCGGCCCCCCCCCCCCCCCACTCAGTGTTATTTAGGGTACGCATATGCTCGTACCCTCTTTTTGAAAGCACCCCCTATCTGAGGACTGCCAACATTTCCGAACCCCCCTTTCGCGGGCTTTTCGCGGGCTTTTCCTGCCTTGGAGACCCCCCTAAATCAGGAAAAATGCTCAATGTACCCCCCTAAATTTGGAATAATTTCTCAGGAGTCCAAAGAGATGAGAGGAAAAAAAGAAAAAACACCCCCTTTTTAAAGAAATCTCCGGGTGAAAAGTCAAATACACCCCTTTTTTTACAATTCCCGGGCCGGACTTTGTCGCACGAAAAGTACCCCTTTACCGGACATTTTGGCAACACGCATGCGGTCATTCCGACCTCTGAGTGGGGGGGGGGGGCCGGGAAAATGTCCTCTCATGAATCGAATTTTCTGTTTCATTGCTAGTATTTTTCTTGCGTCTTTTTTTAGGCTTTCGTGTATTGTGTCAAGGGGTTCATTAAAACGTGTCCCTGTCAGAATGATTTTCCGATTTTCATACTTTCAGATAATCAAGTGAAGATTTAAAGCATAACAATGAAAGATTGAAAGATGAAAAGTTTAAATCGTTTATGTAAACTTCTTTCCCTCAATTTAAGAAAATTATTAATTGTTCTCCCAGACTTCATATTTTCAAATAAATGCTAAATGCATAACACTGTAGTGGCCAAATGCATGGTCGCTCGTCTGTATGGGTAGGGTTGGGTTCGGCGGGGGTCCTCTGCTTCACTTTTTTTTTTGCCTCGGGGGTTTCGCTCTTGAACAATATTTATTTTGTAACGTTTTACATTTTCTGCCCTACCCTTTATTGTTATTGCGTTATTCTGTTTAGTATATTTGTTTCTAATTATGTAAATTATTTGTGAACATTGTGATTTCTTTTGATTTTCCAATAAAAACTAAAATATAAATTTAAAAAAAGATTATTACTTTTTGCTGAAATTGTACCTTTATACTTTTAGATGTGTAATTACGATTTACAAGTTAAATCTATTGATTTGTATCTGTTGTATGTGTATTGCTTTCCCATTTGCGTGGTATTTGCCTGTCTGGTTTGTAGACATGTTCAAGCCGTTTCTGTCTGGTTCGTTAATATTATTCATTTGTTACGTAGATTTGCAATTATTACTAGCATATTGATGTTCAACCATTCACGCTTCTGTGGTGATTTAGAACTCGGGTTCTTCTCGCCACGTGAGAATCAGTGAGACTTTTGTATCGGCACATACAAACTGTGACTGTGCTATTGTTTTTTGTGCCGGCTTAAATTCTAGTCCAACAAGGACTCGACTGACTTAGTCCTCGCACCTTTGGCGGAGGACTTGCTTGCTGCTCGTCTTGCTATTTGCAAGCTTATCTGAGATGAGAGGGGGGATGTCTGCATGTCCTGAGATAGGGGGGTACATTGAGCAGCGTTCCTGATTTAGGGGGGTCTCCAATTAGGCAGGAAAAGCCCGTGAAAAGCCCGCGAAAGGGGGGTTCGGAAATGTTGTCAGTGCTCAGATAGGGGGTCTTTTAAAAAGAGGGTACAAGCATACCCGTACCCTAAATAACACTGAGTGGGGGGGGGGGGCGGGCACACAGGATACTAATTGCTCCCTTTTTATCCAGTGATCAGTGTTCTTTTATGTATTGATTATTGGCGCTTAGGAGAGTTGTACACTCCCTTTTACACTTCTATATTGTGTGTATTTTTGTGTGACCAAACGATTAAATGAACCTCGATTATTTGTTTTGATAATCCATATTTAATCGCCGATATTTAATTATGAAACTTTTTTGTTTGATAGTATGGTTTTTCTCGGGAGATCATAATTGTTCCTACACGATTTTCATTGTTATTCTTATTTCCCGATCTACATGTATTCCATCATTTGACATCAAATAAATAACTCGACCGTAGGCCTCTTATGAGACATATAGGCATATAACTAAGACTGCAGCCACTTCCGGACAACCGAACCCAAGGCAATTATCTCCCAATAACGGACTACTATCTTCCTATTATGTACCGGGGGTCAGGCGCGGATCCAGGATTTCTTAGGGGTGGGGGCCCAAATTTGAAATTATGCGAGCCAAATATTAGTACGTTATGGTGACAAACAGTGACGTAATCCGGGGGGGGGGGGGCAGTTTCCCCGTCCAAGGCTTTGACGTTTCATTATATTATTTGAGAAAGAAGACGATTCGTTGTACCGTTCTCGAAAATGATTCTCGTGTGAATTTAGTTTTTCCCCTCCCGCGCGAAGCGCGGAAAATTTTACGATTTATTAAATTATTAGAGAAAGAAGACGATTCGTTGTAGAGTTCTCGACTCTTAATCCTTGTCTAAATTCAGTCCCCCCCCCTCCCCCCCTCCTACGCGAAGCGCGGAAGCTTTGACGTTTTATTAAACTATTAAAGAAAGAACACGATTCGTTGTAGCGATCTCGACCCTTTATCTTCGTCTGATTTCAGTTCCCCCCCCCCCCTCTCGCGCGGAAGCTTCATTAAATCATTAGAGAAAGAAAACGATTCGTTGTACAGTTTTCGACTCTTAATCCTTGTCTAAATTCAGTCCCCCCTCCCCCTCCTGCGCGAAACGCGGAAGCTTTGACGTTTTATTAAACTATTAAACTATTAAACTATTTACGTTTCTTTAAATCATTAGAGAAAGAAAACGATTCGTTGTACCGTTCTCTATACTCTTAATCCTTGTCTGAATATCAAATATGTTCTTTGTCTGCTCCTTTTTCTTCCTACATCCTCTTCCGATTGGGGGAACCGCCCCCAACCCCCCCCCCCCCCCTGGCTACGCGCCCGCGGTCAGATAAACACATCTTGATACCTTGTCCGACCCCGCAAGTTTAGGGGTTTAAGGCAATAAATTACGGTCAAATAAGCATTCAGGGGCCCGCCTTAGGGCCCCTGGTGGGGTCGAGGCGGCGGAGCCGGCCCCGGAAGCTCAGGGGTTTTAGGCGTTTAATTAAGGTCAGATGAGCATATTTTTGTGTATACCTTATTATTTTGTGACACTGGCATGTCACTATTTGGCGTGGGGTCCAGGGGGCGGAGCCCCCCAAAACAGGGGTTTTAGGTATTAAATTACCGTCAGATGATCATCTAAGGGTCCGCCGTAGGGCCCTAAATGGAATCCAGGGGGCAAAGCCCGCGGAAGCTCAGGGGTTTTAGGCATTTAATCACGGTCAGATGAGCATATTTTGATGCCTCATTATTTTGTTAACACTGGCAGTTAACTATTCTTACTTTCTTGCTCTCATTCTATTTCATTTCTCTTTAAAATACTTTTTCAAGAAAAGTAGGGGGCTCGAGGCTCTCGATCCCCGCCGTACCTCGGGCCCTGACATGTAGGAATCCCAAGAATCATATTTTTTGCCTGGTTGTAAATTTAGGAATTTGTCATTTTCCAACAAACACATACAAACGTATAATTTACTAAAAAGTGAGGAAAAATTTCGGAAATTATGTCATTTCAGCAGTATTTGTAATCCACTGTTGTGGAATTACAAGTAAACCAAGTTTGAATATGATTTTCCCCAAGCCCCCCCCTATCAGTACGCCAGTATCTCCTCTTTTCCCTTTTTCTTTCCCTTTCCTTCCTTCTCTCTTATTTTTTTTTGATTGGGGGGGTGGGTTGGGGGGGGGGGGTTAACATCCTGGGAGGCAAGGCCCTTTCGGCCCCCGATCTCCTTCTTCCCCCTTTTTTTCTTCTTCCTCTTCTTTCTTTCCCCTTTTCTCCTGTTTCCCTTTCTCCCTTCTTTTCCTTTCTTCTCTCTTTTTTTTTTTTTTTTTTTTGCGGGGGGGGGGGGGCCAAGGCCCGCTCGGCCCCCCCCCCCTGGATCCGCGCCTGCCGGGGGTAGTCGTCCGTGGTTACAGTCATGTCTCAATAATAGCTCTAAAAGTATTTGAAAATATTGAGTCAGAGAGAACAGTAAATCAGTTTCTAAAATTGTGTGGGAGAGGTTAAATCAAGAAATGTTCAATCTTTTATGAACGTAATTCCTTTGTTAGTATGCTTTCAATCTTCAAAGCCTGACATCGGTTGCTCATTCCACTGGACCCACCTTTAATTTTCCCCTAAAAAGACACGATACGGCCACCGCACCGAGCCACGACCCGACATTACAGAAAAGGAGTTTGAACTGAGTATCCTACCTGAAGTCCTACTTCAAGAACGTTGGGACTGTTCCCCGAAGTACCGCCAGTGTTGTTTCTCAATAAATATTCCAAAATTTCCAAGTGGCCATTATCTGCTGCAAAATGAAAAATTGTCCAACCGTAATTATTAGGTGACTCGATGTGAGCCACTTTCGTAATGAGATATTTTATAATGTCAAAATAGCCCCCACGAGAGGCAGCAAGGAGAGATAGATCACCATCACTTGTTGGTTTGTTTACATCTGCTCCTGCATTCACAAGACATTCAACAACATCAAGATGTCCGTTATATGAAGCGATATAAATGGGAGTAAATCGCTCATTATCTCCCGTGTTCAGGTCTGCTCCTTCAGCGATGAGATATTGTACAAGATGGTGACGACCCTCGTGTGAAGCAACATACAGAGGTGTACTGCCGTCGTTATCACCTAGTTCTTTATCTGATCCTTGACTTATAAGATATTTGACAACTGTAATATGGCCATAGAGTGATGCCGCCCAAAGAGCCGTCTGACCGTTATAACCTCTACTATCAATATTTGCTCCTTTATCAATGAGATACTTCACGACGTCTAGATGACCTTCATGTGATGCTGCATACAGAGGTGTACAACCATCGTTATCACCCATCTCTTTATCTGCTGTTTGACTGATAAGATACTTTACAACTGTAATGTGGCCATAGAGTGATGCCGCCCAAAGAGGCGTCCGACCGCTATTACCTCTACTATCAATATCTGCTCCTTTGTTAATGAGATACTTCACGATGTCGAGATGACCCTTTTCTGAAGCAACATACAGAGGTGTATGGCCATCGTTATCACCCATCTCTTTATCTGCTCTTTGACTGATAAGATACTTTACAACTGTAATATGGCCATTGAGTGATGCCGCCCAAAGAGGCGTCTGACCGCTATTACCTCTACTATCAATACTTGCTCCATTATCAATGAAATATTTCACTATGTCTAGATGACCTTTATGAGAGGCTGCATACAGAGGTGTACGGCCATCGTTATTACCCGTGTCTTTCTCTGCTCTTTGACTGATAAGATACTTGACAACTGTAAAATGGCCAATGAGTGATGCCACCCAAAGAGCCGTCTGACCGTTATTACCTCTACTATCAATACTTGCTCCATTATCAATGAAATATTTCACTATGTCTAGATGACCTTTATGAGAGGCTGCATACAGAGGTGTACGTCCATCCTTATCACCCATCTCTTTATCTGCTCTTTGACTAATAAGATATTTGACAACTGTAAAATGGCCATGGAGTGATGCCACCAAAAGAGCGGTCTGACCGTTATTACCTCTACTATCAATATCTGCTCCTTTGTTAATGAGATACTTCACGATGTCGAGATGACCCTTTTCTGAAGCAACATACAGAGGTGTATGGCCATCGTTATCACCCATCTCTTTATCTGCTCTTTGACTAATAAGATACTTTACAACTGATATATGGCCATTGAGTGATGCCACCAAAAGAGGTGTCTGACCGTTATAACCTCTACTATCAATATCTGCTCCTTTATCAATGAGATACTTCACTATGTCTAGATGACCTTTATTAGATGCTGCATACAGAGGTGTAGATCCACTCTTTGCTGCTGTGTTTACATCAGCTCCTGCATTCACTAGACATTCAACAACATCCAGATGTCCATTTTCTGACGCGTGATATAGTGGTGTGAAACCATCTCTATCTCCCAAATCGAGGTTTACCCCTTTAGTTATGATGTACCTGGCAGCATCGAGGTATCCCTGGGAGGATGCTTTGCAAAGTGTAACTGGACCGACGTCATCTCTGTTGCCAATATCTTCTTCCTTAGTCATGAGAAACTCCGCAATGCATCGATTTCCATTTGTTATCGCGGTTGACAGCGGAGTGTTGCCATTATGAGATGCTTTATTGATATCAGCTCCTGCATTCACTAGATATTCAACAACATGAAGCTGATCATCTCTTGAAGCGGCATGAAGTGGTGTGTATTTTTCATTGTCTTCCGTGTTGATATCCGCACCATTAGTTAAGAGGTATTTTACAACATCGAGGTGACCACGGGAAGCCGCAGTACTAAGAGAAGTTTCACCATTGTATCCCTTCTGTTTATTTTCTGCTCCTTTGGTGATGAGATATTTCACAACGTCTAGATGACCATTCCGTGATGCAGCATGAAGTGGTGACATATTCTCGTGGTTTGCATTTTTGACATCTGCTCCTGCATCTACCAGACATTCAACAACATTAAGATGACCTTCCAGTGAGGCAAGATGCAGAGGTGTATAGCCATCATTACCATCTCTGTCAATTTCTGCTCCTTTAGTGATGAGATATTTCACAACGTCCAGAAAACCATTTTCTGATCCAGCATGAAGTGGTGTGTCATCATCATATATTAATTGGTTCACATCTGCTCCTGCATCTACCAGACATTCAACAATGTCGAGATGTCCCTCCTGTGTAGCGCTATAGAGAGGTATGTAGCCATCTTCATTCTCAGTATCAAGCTCTGCTCCCTGGCTAATAAGATGCTTAACAACCTCAACATGACCACCCAATGACGCAACTAAAAGTGGAGTTTGACCCTTAGGACCAATCTTTTCAAGATCGGCTCCTTTAGTTATGAGATATTTCACTACGTCAAAATGCCCCTTACTTGCTGAAGTATAAAGGGGTGTAGAATGATCATATGAATCTTTGTTTATATCGGCTCCAGAATTTACTAAACATTCAACAACGCCAAAATGGCCCTTCTCCGAAGCAAGATAGAGAGGTGTATAGCCAATGCTATCACCAATACTGATATCTGCTCCTTTACCGATGAGATATTGAGCAACATCCTGGTGACCACTCTGAGACGCATAGTGAAGAGGGGTGTCACCGCTTCTACTTCGCTTTTCTAGAACCGCCCCCGAATCAATCATATATTTTACGAGGTCAATATGCCCTTCTTCTGAAGCGATGTGGAGGGGTGTATTTCCATCAGGATCCTCACTCTGTAGCATCTCCAGCCTGGCATCTGTCTCGTCTTCTAGAATAGACCTTGTCTTTACAAGATCGCCTCCCTTCACCGCTGTAAAAAGTGCCATGTTCATTCTGTCTCGGTTTGTGTATTGTCTCTCACTATAGGAGGGTGTTATGTATTTAATTTATATATATATCTATATATGTTATCGGGCAGAAAAGTTGTAAAGGGAAACAACCAATCCACAACAATTCTGTTCTTAAATTGGAATAAACCAGGAAAACATATGATGTAGAAATATTTAGGAAACACGATACTGCAGATTGGTACATGTAGTACGAAATCGACGAATATCAATGATTTACAGACGAAAAAAGTTTCAGATTGCACTTTTGTTATGCACATTAACTTGATTAAATTGTTTTGAAAGCACTGAATACATGAAAGGATGGCTTATCTGAATTTGATCATCCCCATCATCCGTCATCTTGGGTTTCCTCCATGTTATGATGCTTCTGAAAGGATTTTCTGAAAGGCGATGATCCTGTCGGTTGACGTACACGTTCAGTATTAAGCTCTCCCTCCTGTCACTTCAAAAGGGTATTCATCCGCTTCGGAAGCCATTTCTTCATATCAAAAAGAATCCATGGCCTCTTACACAGCATGTGATCTTTCTGATTTACATCTGATCCTAACGTAATATCCACTGTAGACAAACATCTGATTTCCTGTCGACTCCAAATAAGAGACTGCTTCGTTATATCTTGAGTCCACCACCACCACCACTTCTATGACATGAGTACAAATATGTCATGGTTTGTATTTTCTAAAGATCCGAAGTCTATACAATTCGAACAAATTATGCCCAAAGCAAACATGCCATATATGTAAGCAGTCACTTGCACGCAACACTTACACAAAATCAAACTCAAAAGGGAATTGAATAACGGCCTTGATTCAAGGCAAACTACGATTTTCTTTATTATCATTTATATGGTAAGCCCCGTTATTAACGATCAGATTAGCTAGCACCATAAAGAGATATCGTCCCTTTTTTCACGAAGTGACAGATGAGCTTGCAATTAAAAGAAAGTTAGTTTTGAATAAATCGCTCTCAAACTTTCAAACTATAACCTCAACCTCTTTAACGTATCAAGGGCAAATACATGTAATGTGCTGGGATAGAACATATCTCAATGTTTAGTTCTATATTTAATTATTTCTATAATTTCTTATAATTTTTGCGGAAATGAGCTGTAAACATAACCGTCACTTCGTGAAAACACGAAATTCAAGGACGCGCTGTAATTTTGTTTTCACGAAGTGACGGCTCGTAGCCGCGCGCGTAAAACAAACGGGATGCTCTCGTGGATGAAATTCCCGAAATGGACACTAAATACGGCAAAACGTTATGTTTAATTAATGTACAGATAAAATAACTCAAACTACGAGATAGAGTATATTTTCCTCTTTCTGCAGCTGCTTTTGTATTCCTCTGTTTGGATTTTAACACAACCGTCATTTCGTGAAAACACAAATTACATAGAACGCTTTGATTTTGTTTTCACAAAGTGAAGGCTCGTAGCCGCGCGTATAAAACATATGGGAATTTTATTGTGTGAAACAATTTCATGATACTCAACAATCGCAGTAGTGAAGTACGATACATGTAAAAGTAGGCCTAGTAGTAGAGGTATCATTCTGATCCTTATTATCCTGATTATCTTTTGCAATACGTCTAGACGATGAACTCTGACAATTGACAATTGTCATGAATCATTGTCTTTAAGCTTACCCTTAAATGCATCTGGCACGAATTTTGCTTCGGTATTTGGTACTGGATGATTTAAATGATAAAAATGAACTTGTGTCCTATTCATTCTAGTCTCATTCATTTGCATTATGTTTTATTTATTCAAGTTATAATGTTTCTGACTGTTTTCTGTCGATCATAGTTCTATGTAGCTTGATATCTCACGGTAATTTTGAGAGAAAAGCAATCCAAGCACCGATTTCTGAATTGTAGCGACAATCGCGTTCGTTTTTTGCTGCTCTTCGATAATACTTGGCAAGCAGTATTGATTAATTTTTCAAGGACTCATGATAAATTCGTTTAACAGTTGATTACCCTCCGTTGATTCTTTTGTTCGGGTTATTTGGCGGGGAGAGATCGAAATGAACGGTCTCACGCTTAACGACGTTGTATTATTATTCTTATTTGTTCATCGTCTCTACGATGCTCTTTGAATCAAAACAGCTTTTATTGTTAGGCTTCGTGAATGAAATTTCAATTGTTGTTAAGAAATTGTTGGTTTCACTCTGTAGATTATGATGATGTTTTTGATCTTGTTTTCAATAACAAGATCAAACACAGGATGAAAATCTACTGGGTGCTTGCCAATTTCCAATACGTTCTTTACAACAATAAAGAAAAAAGAGGTAAACATAAATTTAAAATATCAAGTAATTCATACCAAACATATCATTATAAATTATCTTCAATACTGTATTGCATTTTGAAACGTACATTTAGGGTTTTGTCGAAAAGACTCATCAGGTATACATTCACGGAATACGAAGGTTATTTCAAAGATTATACAGTACTTGTAAATATGCTAAAATGTCTTTATCTTTTGCATCATCATCCTCATCATCTGCATAGATTGTTTACCTGATACAAAAGAGGTATTCAAAACAGTACTGTGTGGTATAGTCTCTTTCTTGCACGATATAATGTTGATCGTAACGAAACAACGGTGGTGGAGTTTTCATTGGGAAAGATGACTAATATAATCATCAACGTTACTTTTTTGTTCATCACTGTTTTTTCATAAATGTTTTGTGAGTAGAGTATCAGAAGCAAGTCAGTTTTAATACACAATCTCTTTGTAGGGTATTTCAATAAAATTTAGTACACAGTCTCAAACGCTACTAAGTTTACCAATGCTAAAAGGTTATCTCCACCCATGCAAACACGTAACCTTTGACTAAACAATTATCAGCTGAAAAATGCATGATAAACATAGAAATATCATTTTGACTAAACAATTTCATTTCTCATCATACAGATAAATTCAAAACAGAAACATTATATTGTATGATTATAGGATAGTTTGAAGTACCAAATACAATTATGATGAGAATAACTAGAGAAGTAAAAATAAACCAATAAAATGTGAACTAGTAACATTGTGTTTTGACAGAAAAAGAAAATTGTGGAAATGTAAGTTATATTCACGTTCTAATAAAGGCATCAACCCCTGTAAATAGAAACATTTAAAAGAAATCAACAATTTTTTTTCAATACAAAGATACGATATGCGAATTCATGGAACTGAAATCCAAAACTCAGTCAGCAGAGCGTCCGCCTCACAACCCGGAGGTCGTGGGTTCGAACCCCGGCCGCGTCATACCAAAAGACGTTAACAGACGGGAGTTGCTGCTACCTTGTTTGGCGTTCAACAATAAGGGAAAGAGCAACGTCGATCTGGCGCTGCCGGGCTCACGCTCGATTGGGCAAAATAATTTCCATTTTCGGTTTAACTTAATAACATTTGGAGTGGACTTTAACAGATTATTATTATTATTATTATTATTATTATTATTATTATTAATATGCATTACTGATTTCTAAAAATGAGGTAGGTATACCTGACAGATAGCTGTTCTGAGCTAAATATTTGAATATCAAAGGTTTATGTTTGCAGGAGTTCATTACAATACTGTAACAGAAAACTGACACAGGTACGACCATTCAGTTCATTGTTTCAGAAATCATGGACAATATTATCGGTTCACTTTAAATCAATTCATTTATTTTATAATCAACTCATTTCATTGCGATTACTAAATTCTACACACAATTAAAATTATGAGTGGAGTTTTCTATATGATATTCAAAATGTCTACAGTTAAACAGTATAAAAGAGAGATTAAGGTATTGAAACATTGAAGCATTGCCACAACGATCAATATGATTGATTCTAGTTTCTTTAGCATGCTCTGCAACAAAAGTTCTTCAAGTTTCTTCACACGTATGTCATCCAAGCGATAGTGGTTGAAGCAGCGAAGATTCTTGATCTAGACTGCTTGAAAGCAAAAGGAAATAAGAGAAATAAAAATCATAATAAAAAAATTCCAAGTCAGAATCAACAGAAAATCATTATCAGAATGTCAATTATGAAAAGGAAACTGTACAGTGCATTATATTTATGATTAGGTGAAATTGTTTTGTGTAGTTTTGGTACCAACTTTTAGAGAGGCTCTTAAATTAGATACTTTAATTGGTATTACCTTAGTATTAGCAATTTTTGTTAAGGATTAAAAAAAAAACTTAGATGCTGACCTCGATAGGACCACTCTTTCCCTTAAACTAAGAGACCTAAACATTAAAAACAATTAATTAGGAATATTGCAAATTTCAACTATTGGGAAACGATCAAGAAGGGAAAAAGATACCTTTTAATTTGTTCACAAGCATAGACAGTGGCTCATCATCAGAATCGCCATCGAAGCCATCTGAACTACTTAGATGTCACTATGCCAAGTCACACTGCAGCTCTGACTGTATTCAGTGAATCGCTTCAACAATTCCATACCGCTCCCACTTGAATTATGCATTCAATATATTTGTTTAATTTCGTGTATTATCTGTATAAAGTTATATACACTTAAAATATTGTATCAAACCATATTATGTTCATGAAAATGTATGATGAAAAAAGAAAAAAGATGCAGAAACCAATAAATCAAATCAAATCAAATCAAATCAAAATCCAATCTAGTTTTGTAGAATAAAAGAAATAATCACAGTACAAGTTATTTTCCTTCTTTTTTCGCAAGCAGAGGTAAAGAAAAAAAGTATTATCTTTTGTACATCAAATAATCACTAGACATAACTGACCCCAAACAGACGTTTTCAATTGCCCCTACCAAACAACTACCACCCGCAATGCACATATGCAGTGAGTGTGCTTGGTACTTGTCATACAAGATGATCAAGACTTGACTCTATACACTCTAGTTACAACAAATATTCAAATTTTGGTTCATAGAAGTTTTAGCTGAAAATATTATATACCAATTGTCATGTACATATATAGCCTTCGCCAAAATTAGAAACACGTTCCTGTCCAGCTTTTTACTATGTCTGCTAAGTGCATTACATATTCCATATCTTTATTTCCCTGTTATGTAGCAATCATATATAATAGCAGTGCATTTCAAAGATTTGTATCGATCGCAAGTTCGGTAGTGAGCGCAAATCAATGGATGGCATTATACAGACCGGTCATGATTAATCATAACTCTCTACAGTGCTTCCCAGAAAAAAGAAACCGAAAATTATCGATGTTTTATCATGACTTAATCACAATTATATTTAATAAATGACACATATTTGGAAAGCTTAGATCCTCCTCTTTCATTTGATGCAACTCATTTGATGCATATGTCACGCATGGGTTATTCAAATCATTTTGAAGAGAGGAAACCGAAAAGTCATTTGGCGGGCGGTATCTGAATTTCAAAGAGCAAATCACATTCTAGAAAGTTGAGTTATTGCCCTTTCATATGACACCTCAATCAGGAAAAATGAGCGCCCGCTGCGTACAGTCATGATTCATTGGCTAAGCAATGGCTAAGCAATGGCCCCGTTACTGTGAGCCCCCAGGATAAAAACCGTGTCGATGTGCTATATTAGTGTCCTTTTATGAGGCATTAATCCCCATTACTGTCATGTATGACTTAAGGGCGTAGGTCCCCTAGTTGATTAGCATAGTAGCATACACACGCTTTAGCAGTCACGCAAAACAAACACTCCCCAATTGTCATTCAATATAATCTGAGAAGATATACTATTATCTAGATCTATTAGGAATAAATCATTGTCAAAATCATTCAAAAAATTGGGGTAAAAAAAAATTATTCCACCATAATGACCAACAGTGTAGATAAATTGACTGCTATGGGAAGAAATAAAATTGAAGGCGGTCATGGTAAAGAAGAGAACTCCCAAGGATTTTAATTCAATTGTTTTAATTATTATTTATATATATATATATATATATATATATATATATATATATATATATATATATATATATATATATATATATACTGTCGCTCATATAGTTGGAATATTTTTGTTTTACCCCAATTTATGGAATATGGAGCCTGCACATAATCCTGAAGGACACTCAATTATTAAAATACCATTCAAGAACAGCAAATAGACACGTTTCATGGTTCACAATGCACATCTTTCATTTCTTATTTACATAAATCTGACGATATTGACAATCATCAAGAAATTCATAAAATCTATATAATAGGATCTAAAATACACCTTGATCACTTTGAAACTCATCAGACTGAATAATAAATGTAGTAAAGGATGTCCGTGATAATTTAGAATTAGGTTTGGATATAATTTGTTGTTATGATGAAAAGAGAGGAATATAGGTAAAGAGCGGTGGGGGGGGGGGCGAAAGATAATGAAATACAAAGAGGGATACTAATATAGTCTACAAATATCGACGTTCAGAAGTTTTTTGTTTGTTTTCAAAACAATACAAAATGGTCAGAATGTAAACTGTTTTAATTATGCCGACAAGGTTTTACATATCACTACAAATTTTCCGGCAGAATGTTTTGATTTTATTTTAGATTGCCACTCCCCTGCCGGCCACTCCCTTCCCCCCCCCCCCCCCAACGACCACACACCTCTCTACCCAACATCTCTATCATAAAGCATTGTACAGATGAGCAAATCCGTGAGGTCATGTAAATATCCCATTAACAAATAATTACTTAACAATGTATAACCTTGCATAGAATCATTTTCTAATCACCCATTTTCATTTTCCCATGCAGGTTTATCATAGAAATATGAAATCCTCGTTACAGCAGACCCTTATTATTATTTTATCATTGTAATGGAAAATTGTATTGCTAAAACACAAACTGATACATATTATAGATATACTCGGTATGTACACATTCATTACACAAATGAAATAACATTATAATCTGAAAATACTATGTCATAGTTGCAAAACCAGAACCACCTCATTTTACCCGGCAAGCCAATATTATAAATCTTTTGTCTAGCTTAAGTACAGTTTGTATTTTCTTTATTCTATTGCACATTTTGTTTGCATTGCTCATCTTATTCCAAACCCTAAACAAAAACAATAACAATGAAAGAGAAAATAATATTGAGAAATTCATTAAAACCGTGGCATTTAAACGCTGTTTGAATACACGTATCTCTTCACGCCTGTATTTTAAATCGCCAAAAATATGCAAGTTTCTACACCAAAAAAAGAAAGAGATCCAGGATAACCTACTCTTCTATCGAAAAGACCGTGATGAAGAAAATAAATTTTGTGAATATGAAACTAAATTTTCGTTCTAGTCTCAAGATGGCGCTAAATCAAAATACAGAACATGTCAGATAAAAACATTTAGCATATTGCGTTCTAAATACAAGCCTTTACAAATACATTCAGCAAAAAGGTGGACACTGTTTATCATTATTTTTTTCAAATGAATATTTGACTTAAACTGAAGATGACAAGCAAATTGAATCACAACATTCACGCATGAGTCAACATGGCCATTTCACAATAAATGTGTCTCTGGAAAAAAAGAAGATTTAAAAAATGGAGCATCTGGCCATTCACATGTTGATGAGATTTTCTATCTTATAGAGTCAAATTGAAACAATTAAAGAAATCCTGAGCAACACAAAAGGAAAGGCAACTTGAACGCGTTTGTTAAAACCATGCAGTCCTGAGACTACAGTTGACACCCAGAGCTCAACCTTCCTCACTGTTTCCCATTCTTTGTTTTTGTTGTTGAACAAGTGTATTTTACAGAATATTTGTTCATTAACATTAATTTTGAATGACTTCTTGCCCTACTTTTGCAATTTTCTTAATCAGACCTTCTAACTGTTAGGTGGATTCGCCCATCCCAGCATTAAAATGCTAAGCTTGATTTTACTTGATGTTGATACAGTATCAATTTTCCTTTAATTTTATATATATTTCATTAATATTATAGAGACGGTTTAAATGAAAATTTTAACAATTAAGAGTGCCCAATTTCTATTTTGCTGAGTAAACATTCGCTTACTAACATGATCAAATAAACATTTTGCATGTCAGTTAGGCTACTTGAACTTTACCCTAGATTTAAAAAAAAAACGATAAAGCATTTAAATACATATATTTTTTATATATAATATATCTTGGATAACAAACTCTGTGACCTGTACATCGAAGAAGCCTCTTAACCCGAATTAAATTGAACAGTCTATGATTCATTGCATAATAATTGTTTATGAAATCTCAACTTTTATCTATCATGATCACGAAATGACTATTTTTTTTGGAAATATAAAGACCGTTATCAATTTCAGGAAAACGATAATTGCACCTTAACTAACTGAGTTGTCGATTCTCCTATAATCCATTAAAACATGTAAAATTCCTTTTTCATAAAAATCATCATTTAAACAAATCGTCACAGTTTTTAAACCCATTACCATTATATACATCTTTGTCATTGCTTTGGGTGTTAGAGCGACCTCAAATTCAACCTTCAAAAAGAAAATCTTCAACAAATCTACAATTTGTTAAATGAATCGTTATTGCCATGATAAGACCGCTGTACCATAGCTACTATAAATATAAGTATATATAATTTTATTTTCTTACTATTAAGTATAAATATATAGTACACTATCGTATAAATACATCGACATGAAACAATCATCAACAAAGTGAATGATTGTCCATTGTCATCATTTTACAAGAATCACCAAACGTATTTGTTCTTCCAACTGTGTAAATGCACGAGGAATGATATTCATACAATTTCAAATCAAACATTATTCATTACATCCACTTGTCCATATACCTGATCACCCCCCCCCCCATCAATAATATTAACCGGTAGGTCCCGGGTTCGAAACCAAGTCAATGTACTCGTGCATTTTGGTACTAACGCTCATTGACGCTTACAAACATACAATGCTTTCTTATCAGTCAGGTACAACAATCACCATATCAACTTCACATAAAGTTTCGATTCAAGAACTCGCTCCTAGTGATGCGATTACACGAGACATTGTTTTTTGTTTTTACGGCAGTGGATATTAATTTTTTAAGTACCGATAAACTTTCACTATGAATATGACTGACAAAGAAAGCGGACAAAATATACAGTTCCTCAGGTAGACAAAGGAACATCCCTTCACTGCTATTATGTAAAAATTTGTAGAACAGGTGTCACATGCATATTCACCTTTTTACATAATAGCAGTGAAGGGGTTTCCTTTGTCTACCTGAGGAACTGTATATTTTGTCCGCTTTCTTTGTCTGTCATATTCCTAGTGTGTAAATCTGTCTTTGAGACAGCTAGAGGGGAATGATAGAGTGCACAGAAGACCTTGTCTGTTTGTAGGACATGCACCGTTATATCAAATACAAGAGGATTGAGAGGCTGACGGAAGTTCCTAAAAGTGGCAGTGTCTGTGAATCGTCTTTTATTTGAGAACTGATCACCAATTTCGATGAAACTCTCTTTAGTTCCAAGTTTTTACAAAGGAAATCGTCAAAGGGTGGTCCTAAACGGGGCAACCAGTGCCTCTTGCTGTGTGTTGCCTTTGGCTACAAGTTAGATGGAGATAGAGTTTATACAGTTATAAGTTGTGCTGGTTTAAAGAAAAGAAGAATGTACATGTATATAGCTCTAGAGGGCACTATCCATTCAGTTTTCCCAGAGCCATCTATATACACAGAGATGGCTCTAAGTTTTCCTCGAGTACCTACATTATAATATAGGTATGTTTAAAGTTTTCTCAGAGCTATAGGCTGAGGAAAGTTTAGGCTTTAGCAAACCCGGTTCGAGTCGGGCACTATAATGGCGAGTACTGCTTTGTTGGGCAAGCACAAAACAAAAGAACGCCATGTTGTAACCAACTGACACCAAGTTGTCCACACTTTGTGTACAGACAGCTCAGGGTTTTTCTGTAGATACATTGAGGCACATCATGTGGTAACTTCGGTCCCACTTCGACACAACATGCATGGCGCACATTACTTTTTGATTGGAACTGGAACCGAGATGGTCCAACTCTGGGTATAGATAGCTCTGATTTTCCTCTTGTCTGTACACCACCACCATTAACATTTTCCATTTTTAGCTGTTGAACTCGCTTTACTCAGAGGTGTGGTAATATTTCAGTAAAAAGACGTAAACTGAAGTGGTACGGGCACGTCACACGATCATCTGGACTGGTCAAGACTATCCTACAGGAACAGTATACAGGGAGGAAGACGAAGAGGCAGACAGAAGAAACGATGGGAAGACAACATCAAAGAATGGACTGGCCTTGACTGGAACATCATACGGCGGAAAGCTGAGAACCGCGAGGAATGGAGGAAGCTGGTTGCAAAATCTACAGTGGTGCCCCAACGGTCAGCCAGACTACGGTACAGATGAGATGATGAGAGAGTGGTAATCTACTCTTTAAGAATGTCTCGAAAGCACATCCAATCGTGTTTCCAGTACACTTAGAGATATAATGTATTCAATAATAATGAAAAATCACGGTATCACCATATACATTTGAAATATAGCAATCTCTAACGATGAACTATTTGCCTCTATTTTGGTCTTCTTCCATGTAGGTAATCAATGAGAATGGATGGTAGGAGATTATGTAAGTTGTTGATGACCCGGACACGCATTGTTATCACTCTCCTCACTAAGAATTGGAGTGGAAACACTCGAGTATCTGTAAAGCAACGATCAAACAAAAAGTATGGAAAATACTTTTACTACTACAAGTACTAATAATAATCCTAATTGGTTATTGACAATTGATCATTGATCTATATTTGCTTCTCCCCACCCGGGTGTTAATGGGTAGGCCTACCTGGTAATCGCCGGGGTAATAATAATTGCAGCCTTTGCAGGACCCTTCAGGAAAAATAGCCGTGCTGTGGCTTCCCTTGGTAAACAATTAGTTTAATTATTTTAAGTATCATTATTATCGTTTATTATTATTATAATTATCATAACCATTATTGCCATTATTATCATTATTATTGTTATTACTATTATTATTGTTGTTGTTAATATTATCATTATCATTATTATCATTGTCGTTATTATTATAGCTCATCAAAATCAAAAAGTAAATTCAATTTATTTCTGAATTTCTGTTAAAATATTATTGCACAATTTTCAATGTATTCACTCGAATACCCTGATAAATTTTAGAGACATCTACAAATATTTGGAATATATTTTTAGGAGGTGGTGGTATATAAAACAGAAATTAATGCTACCTTTTAAATGTTACATACAGAAATTTTGAAGCCATTCGACGACCTCCCTATGATTTCCTTCGTTGGCAAGATCCAGGGGTGTTTTGCCTGCTGCGTTTACCTCTGTCAATGTACAGTTTTGTGACAATCTGTCCAAGATCTAAGAAAGATAGACACAAGATCATAACAACACTTTCTAATCATGCACGAACCAAGAAAATAAGTACACGTATTGGTATTTAATTTTCCATAATTTCTGCATCAATTTCTGTTTAGCTGTAAGTTATTTTTACATATATAATTATATTTATCATCATTTCGAGTCATGACTCAGCTACTTCCTAATATTTAGCAAAAGTAAGAGCCTCGTCGTTGATCAGGTCCATCCCAGTGCATATGTCAGCCAGCACGTCACAGCTGGGTAGATGATCCATGGCCTGGGGACCGTGCCCACAATAATCCCATATATTATGAGAAATGTAGAAGTAATAGATACCCCACAACTGGAAAGTTTCTATTCTGGCATGTTTGCTCCTATAGTGCTTGGAGTGAAAACACGAGTTCGAGGTTGTTCCTTGCCCAGCCGTCAACCGAGAGTAAAATAACAACCGATGCCACGCCCAGTTATACCACACCCACTTATGCAACGCCCATCGACGCCAAACACACCTATCAGATTAGATTATTATACGACGGCCTCTGTTGAAGAAAATGACATAATATAATGCTTATTAGGCAGATTCGTGCTCGACGTCGAATCCAAAGCGTCTACACCCATTGCTGTTTTCATTTTTAATTTATGTCATTTTATTCTTTATTTCTTTATTTTTATTTTGTATTTATTCATATATTTATTTATTAACTTAAAAATTCATTTTATTTATTCAATCATTTACATATTCATTTCATCATTTATTTATTTATCTATTCAATTATCTATTCATTTATTCTTTCAATCAATCAATAATTTATTCATGCATGTAATCATTTTCTTTACCTGAATTCGGTAACTGCCTCCTTTTTCGGCAGCAAGGTGTGCGGGGGTGTTGCCCATGTTATCCCGGGCCGTGGCATTGGCCCCGTGTTCGAGCAGGAGATTGAGGGTCTCAATACATCCCCTTTCGGCGATGTCGTGAAGGATGGTTCGTTGTACGCTAGGGTCGGGGCGATCGAGGTCGGCACCGTGGTCGATCAGGATACGGGCCGTGCTCGGGCTGTCAGAATTCATGACCTGGGTTATTCGAGTGACCAAAAAAATTCTTGTTGTCATCAAATTCCGAACAGGATGTTGTATTACAATGTTTACATTTTAGAGCAATATAAGATATGTTGCTTAATACGTTACTTATATTCCCTCCCTCACGTGACAGCCATAACATAATTATAGCTTGCATTGGATAGTATGGACACGGGTTTCTCAATAATAACAAGACAGAATGGTATATGGACAAATACATGGGCATAGGGGCACCTTATCCCTCCCACCCCCTTCTAATATGTTTTAAAAAAGTAAGGACAAAGATTAAGAATGGTAACAAAATGTGAGAAAAGAAGACGCCTGGACCATCTATCGCACCCTCAATCTTTTGTATCACTAGCATTGTAAACATGCATGGTAGATAAATTCACTAAAACAAAAAAGGGGGGTTTTATAAATGGAAAAAAATGATGACCGAATTAGATATTAACGAAACAACCAAATCGGTTAATAATATAGTTATTAACCATTAAAGTGTCGTAAAGGGAAGAGAAGGGTGTACTGGTACCCGTGGTATAGAAAGACATTTTTTGAATACTTCAGCGCCTTAACTACAGCCAGGGGCGGATCCAGCGGCAGGGGAGGGGGCCAAAGAGGGGGCCCAATTCGTGAGAAAATATTCAGCGGCGAAACAGCCATCCGGTAAATAAGCGGGGTGGGGGTAAGGAGCAAAAAAAAATTAGCACCAGGGGAGGGGGCCCGTCTCAAATAAAGTTAAAATTAACCTGTTTTTACCTGTTTTTCCCCCAGAGGAGTAGCCCCCCCCCCCCCTGGATCCGCCACTGTCTACAGCCGGGGTAATAATCTGATCCTCTGTAGAATTATCATCGTTATTATGATTCTTACCTGAATGGCTGTACGATCATATATGTTGGGTCTGTTGACGATCCCAGGGGGAGCTCCATCAAGAATTTTCACTAGGGCTGCATCATCAGCTTTCGCTGCTGCGCTTGTCATCGCATCAATCGTTTCCTGTTCTGCCATTCCGAATGACGCATCTACGAACGATCTCGACGGGCTTGATGGGCAGTCATTCAATCACGGATTCAAGGTGGATGCCGATGAGCCTCCCTCTGTACGTGAAAAATGACAACGTTTTCTAATAATTTTTTCGGAGCATTGATTCAATCAGATGTTCACGAGTGCCCTTTTATCTTCACCCATTTGGAAGAATAGCAAATCATTGATACATTATCACGTATCTGAATGAACTCCGTTGACTATTGGCAGGCGGAAATAAAATCCCCTTTTTCAAACAGATCCGGTTCTCTATATTCCTAGTTTTGTAACAACACTCTCTGATCCTCTGGATGTATATACTGTCTCCTTTCGGACTTAATTATGTAGGCACACAATGGTCAGTGAACATTGACATGAACTAACTTGTCACTACACGTAGCAGGCACAAAATAACAAATGCAGTGGAAATGTTGGTCAAACAATTGCGAAATGTCGGAAACTGGAGGTTGACGAACCAGACGACTGGGTCAGGTGATTCCCAGGGCCCACGTCTGGTGACTTGGCTGGCTAGTTGATTGCCTGCATCCTTCCCGAACCCGTGGACAAGATGAATGTTCATTGCATTACATTCAGTTTATTTCATTTACGCACGGGGCCTGTCTCAGCCCGAAGACTGTTCTTCCCTAGTCGTGCAGATAAAACATTTACAAAATAATTATTAATTAACAATTTACAAGAAAACAATTAATTTAGAAAACTACGATTTGCGATTCTGTACATTTAAATGGTATACTTGTTTCTGCTCATATTTAACAAATCAATGTTTAATCGTGATGATCCGCAGAGCCCCAGTCATGTTGTAAAGATTTATATTTTATATATCACAAAAATGATGCGCAAAGCCGCAGTCACACTGTGGTGAGTTTGGAAAAGCAAATACAGTCAAACCTGCTTTAATGACCACCTGTCTTCAAACACCTCATTCCCCCCTTGAAAATGGTTTCCAATTGAAACATATACTAAAGAAACCTGTCTTCAAATGCCACCTGTCTATAAAGACCACTTTTTGCGTTTCCCTTGGGCGGTCGCTATAGACAGGTTTGGCTATCATAATAATCCGATACACTGTTTCGGCACAGGAAATTCTCATGAGCTCTCATCTCCTGTTGCGGCAGGTGGACCTCTACATCGGAGTCCCCCCCCCCCCCTGATGCACAGACCAATTTATCTTTTATCCAAACTCCCCAAACTATATCCCCATTTCGCTACGATCACGCTCGCAACTTTGTTCGAAATATGAACTCAAGGGAAATACCCTAGTGTATGTCCCATAGAAATCATGTTTGGAATGTATGATAGTTTAATACGTCATTGCATGTTCGCACATTTCAATATGTGACGCAAAAAGTTATTGAGATTGCCTTAGGTTGGTTTTCTCGGAACTTTATTGATCAATCAAAATCTTTAGATCTGAGAAGAAATAAACTTTATCTTCATCGTGAAAAAATCATGTTCTTACAATCACTTCATTAAAATAGGTAAAAGAAATGTCTTCCAACTTGATGTTCAAGAGTGAGTTGCTGTCGTGTTGTATCTGTCATATCTTATTCGCCTTTGTGAGCTACTAGTAGGCCTACTATTTTTTCCCCAAGGAATTAGATGTCACAAGTAATATGGTAAATGCAAAGATAAAATCAAGAAGCAATTTACAAAAAGAAAATGTACAATATGATCAGATTACGAAAATTTGGAACAATGCTAAACCTGTCCAACGTGCATGATTAGTTGCTAATATTCTGTTTAAAGGGTTTAAAGATAGTGTGGAGTAAATATTTAAAATTAGTATTGTAAGGTTCCTTTCAACCACTCAAGTCTGACAAAATAGGTATCGGTGAGACGTCTGTAGTCTAGGTTATATATTATGTGTTATATAGGCGAAGTGCTTCGTATAACTATTATGCCGATGCACTATTTGTTATAACCGGCATGTTCTAACTTGCCTTTTCACCATTCAATCTCTGTAATGATGTTTTCTAATGGTTACCTTTCAATAAATCCAGAGCACTAGAAGTGTTATATCTCGTTTTACAGTGATATGGCTGGTATGTTGTTCTTGCTTTTGTTTTTCACTGTTGACTTTCAATTTTTCACTTCTATCTATTCCTATAGAACACACAGAAACGTCTATATCTTTGTAAGTTCTGATAAGCGAAGTATGTTTGCGCGTCCCTGGGATTCCCAAGTTCGGTGCGAGGACTTTGGAGCTATACCTTGAGTCACACAAAGTTCACAGTGCCACTTGACGTAATAAATAGTTCCTAAAACGGAATAATTTGAAATGATATCAAGCAGTCAAAACGGGTTGGATTATTATATGATTTTCTCTGCAGCATAAGTTCCGATTCAGTGAAATTTGAAATCTTCATACCTTACTGCGTTAGCGAAGACATGCATACCATCAGGACTCTATACCTTGAACGTGCACTTGGTTCTTTTTGGCAACATTGATGTGGAGTATACAAGAAAGAACTCAGTTCGAAATAGATTATCCATACATTTACCCTTACAATTACAGGTTAGACTATTGTTTTTGCAAATGGCTTTGTCTTTAGAATATACTGTATATTATAGTATTATAGCTAGCAAACGTGAAGATAATGATATTAATACTGGCTTGCATGGAACGGCCTATATACCACCACGAATTGTATAATGCATAAAGAGCGCCTACAAGGAAAAAAACAAGTAAATCGGATTGGACATTCTTGGAATGTCAATCATAATCACAAGACATCAAAATAACTTTAGTGGATGGTTATTTTGTGATGCGTTAAAATTCACGGTGTTACTTTTGACACAATCCATGACACATGCATGCTATTTGAAACAGCTCATACAACGCCACTCGTACTAACCCAACTATACTCCTACGCAAATCAAGATGTTTGTCACCAGCTTATAGCATAAATGGATGACGTGTAGGGTGCATTGTAATTATTTATTCTACCATGTAAAAGTCTTTGTGTGATTCGATCATGAAATTATCTGCTTAATGCTCATTCGGTAATATATGTATTAGAAATACAGTGACATGCTTAGATGTTTAATTTAAAATGTGTTATTTAGTCTTGATTTGTGAAACAAGACTTGCTGTTTGTTGTTGTGTTGTTGCTGTTGTTTGGTATTGCGTTTCATTCTTTTTTTAGAATATTCAGTCTTTCACTTATTGTTTTATTATTTGTAAATTCGTACTCTTCTAAAATCATAGTTTTTTAATAATCTCAGATCCACTGGTCCATGAAAACCCCCTTACCACAATTGGCACCTTCCTGCCAGACCGACGCGGTACGTTGCGCAATCCGGGTGCGCAATCTTCTCGGCCATCATTGGCAGTGGCGGATCAGGGGGGGGGGGCACAGGGGGCACGTGCCCCCCCCCCCCGCCCCCTAAAAGTGTTGAAATCAGCCCTAAATTCGCCAAAAATGAACTGTCAAACAGGAACGTGTCCCCCCCCCCGGCCAAAAAAAAAAAAAAAATTAGTGCTCACTACCCCCCCCCCCCCTTGTGCCCCCCGGGAAGTAATTCCTGGATCCGCCCCTGTCTATCTACCAGTCTTTATAATTGCCTAAACAAAATTCAGCTTAATTTCTTTTTCTTTAACATAACAAATGTTTCGAAAAAATGTTGTTTAAATGTTGCAGCATGGTTTTTATGTTCGGTCTAAAAGGGGAATATAAAATACAGATACGTACATTGCTCTAAAATAGGGAAAATTAAATCTATGTAGAAACTTTTAACCTAAGAAACGTGCAGATGGAATGTACAAAATATGAATGAAAGGTTAAGCGTACAGGCAATCAATTTCAATTACCTGTCACCCGTCAGTTTGTGATATATCATAATCCCCCTTTTGGGTTATCAAAGTAAACAATCTAACGACGTATAATAGATAGAGAACTGTCATTGAACAACCGTGGAAACCAGTGAGTCAGAAAATGAATTATATATCTATAGAAAACGCGTTGAAGCGTGGAACGGTTGCCTTTAATAACGTACAGTTAGTGAATGTGCATACAGTTGAAGTTACCTGGGAGTTTTTTAGCAGATGTAGAAAGAGAGAGAGGGAAAAGAAGGTGGGAAAGGGGGAATTGGGAAGATCGAGGAGAAGAAGAAAAAGGAGAAAGGGAGAAAGGGGGAAAGTGGAAGAGTAGATACAATTAGAAGGAGGGATAGAAAAGAGAGAAAATGGAAGAGAAGAAAAAAAGAAAGAGAGCGAGAGAGAGGGAGAGAGAGAAAGTGGGGGCGAGAGAGCGAGAGAGAAGGGGAAAGTCAGGCAGCCTGACAAAATCAAATATAGCGATTTTTTTTAATATTAACGTCCCCCCCCCCCCCCACCACCACCACCAACCCATACACACACATACATCATAACATAACATTTGTATATTGAAACCTCACTTTCTTTCTTTTTGAAAAAACTGGAAATGTAAACTTGGACTTCCTTCATTTTTATTGTCAATACAAATAATAACCTCATAGGAGAGAATAGCATGCTTTCCTGTTCATTGCGAAACTTATTATGGGGAAATGGCTTTCCCCAAATGGTTTTCCCCATGATAGACAACTACTAACTGTTAAACGAATTGATTTCTTCTTGCTTTGTAATAGTACGCATACTAGAAACGCGGAGATAACTAAGTCATACACCAGAGGGTTCAACATTTATGCGATCGATCCATGAGGAAACAGTACAGGGAAATTTCGAGTACAGAATATGCTGTCGAAATTGAATATTGCGCAAATGTCATTTCTTCATGTTAGAACATGTATTTGAAACTGTAACAGTGCCAGCGTACACAGGCGCGTACGCAGGGGGGGGGGGGGGGGGGGGGGGGGGGGGGGGGGGGGGGGGGGGGGTTTGGGGGGTTAAACCCCCCCCTTTGGAAATTTTTTGTGTGTAAACCCCCCTAAAAAAAACCTAAAACCCCCCCCCCCCCCCCCCCCCCCCTTTTGGATTTTTTTTTTTTTTTTTTTTTTTTTTTTTTTTTTAATTATTAAAAAAAAAAAAAAAAAAAAAAATATTATTCCCATGGCCGCCCTAAAAAAGGTGACCTTACCCCCCCCCACCGGAGAAAAATGTCAAATTTCCAAATTTTGAGACCAAAAAAAAAAAAAAAAGTGTCCTCTTACCCCCCCCCCCCCCCCCCCCCCCGCTTATTCAGCGGCTGGCTGAGTCGTTGCGAAATTTTCGGACCGATTTATAAATGTTAAAACCCCCCCCCTGAAAAATCCTGCGTACGCGCCTGAGCGTACATAATCAGAAGGGGAGAAAACACAGAAAAGATAAAAGGCCGCTCATCACCTTGTTGTTGTTGGTGCTGTTGTTGGGTGGTGGTGGTGTTGTTGGTGGTGGTGGTGTTGTTGGTGTTGGTGTTAATGGTGGTGGGGATTGTTTGTAGTTTGTTTGTTTGTTTGTTTGTTTGCTTGCCTGTTTTTAATTGTCAACATTAATTAAGTGGATAAGACTATTATTGCAGGCGATACGAGAGAGAGAGATACAATGTAGAAATGAAATTAAGTTTTGTGTTTTGTTTTAAAGTATAAATTAAACAGAGGAGAGGTGGAGAAGAGGGAGACAAATTTCATGAAGGAGGGAACAAAGATATAAATATATATATATAGAGAGAGAGAGAGAGAGAGAGAGAGAAGGGTTGAAGTCAAGCAGACTGACAAAATCAAAATAATGTAGCGATTTTTTTTTTATATTGACACCACTCCCCCCCCCCCCCCCCCTACCACCACCACCACCACATACATACAGCTTTGCAAAAACATATATATAGGGAAAGAGAGAGAGAGAGAAGGGGTGAAGTCAGGCAGACTGACAAAATCAAATGTAGCGATTTTTATATTGACACCCCCCCCCCCACCACCACCACCACCATCACCATACATACA